AATACGCTTCGAGGGCTCGTCATCGATACAATTATTCCTCGTGCAGCCGATAGTATGGATGAATAGAGCTTTAAGAAAGCGATTGTTACGGACTTGGCCGGGAAGAGAAAAAATAGTTTGCGTATAAGGCATAAAGGGTGGCAAAGGGACGGTGGACGGTGATAGATGGTTGGTTAAAGCTTTAAAGAGAGGAGAAACCCGTACAAGCGTCGGCGACGTAGGGTGTACGGAAGGCTACGCGGCCGTTCGTAGCGGTCGTGGCTACGGTTGACGTCACGGGACAAAATGGCGGTGGACGGTGACGTCACCAGGAGGGCACTCCCTCCCTCGGGTTGGCTCCGCAACGTCGGCCGAGGGTAGCCTCGATATCGAGGAGATGCCGGAGGATCCACAGAGGGCGAGAGAAGGTGGGCGTCACGTTCTCGCGTCATAGTCCACAGTGGTGGTCTTGGAGCTTTCGCAGATTTTTGGCAAGATCGTTGCGTGTATTTAGTAGCCGCCGTTAGCCGGCTTTTCGGGTAACGATCGGCGGCCGGGAGACGCCCCACCCTGGCGGTCGAGCCTCTGCTAACACGTGGTTGCACGAACGTGAAATCTTCCTTGAAACAGAACCATTATAGCTTTCTATTTAAAACATCGTAAGTTTCGTTGTAACACGATGAGACGGTAACGTTCTTACTATATAAACTTTTTCGATTCAATGTACGCCTGATCGCGAGAAATTGTAAAGCTAATATTTCACGATCGATGACGAGTCATATAATTTAAATTCACAAATCGATTCGTTTAATAGTCAAAGGACTCTCTTATTCAGTCGATACCTTCTATCGGTTGTCTGAAGGGTGTGAGGGATACCGCGCACGTGGCGCAGAGCTGCGCGGCACGACAGCAGCAAATCCGAATCCCCGGCAGGCCGGCGCACTCGAGCTGCTCCGCGATTCTTACTGTCAGCCGGCCGCCAATTCCATCCCCTTATCTTTGCTCACCCTCTTCTTTTCTTTGCTCTCTACTCTTTCTTACGCTCGAATATCTTCCTCTAATCGTAACCGGTTCGTTTCGTTTCTGTACCTCGCAAGGCGTGTGCGAGAGATTCAAAGGAACGAAATTACCGGCTTCTTTTTTTAATTCTATATAATATTTTTTTCTTTAATCGATTTTCCTTTCTTAAAAAAGAAAATATCGTTTGACTTTCGCTCGCGATCTGTACGCGTGCGCCGATTGTTGCGGCATGCTCCATCCACGTAGACGTAATGGTTTGTTTTAAGGGTAACGAGGCTGAGAAATTCTTTATTGCCTGGTTAGTTCGTTCGTGATTTATGCAACTAAAAAGTTGACAATAATTCGCGCGAAGTTGCATCTGAAAATATTGAGATCAGCCTCGTGGCGGAGGAAAGAGACGGCGGGTAAGAAAGCCGATTGGATGGTATTAGGTGGCTGACTAAACGACTTATCGAAAGGGTTAACGGGAGAATCATGCCGCACCGATACAACCAATTTTCAAGGGGATCCTGCTAGCCAGGCGTCACGTCTCTCATATTGATTTCCCGAAAGATATTAATAACCCTCGAGAAGTATCGTCGATAACTGATGAGCCATAATAAACTTCTAAGTGCCGTCCCAGTTGCTGCGAATAGACACTAATCTCTATGCTACTCGATGCTTCGAGACTTCTATCCGTCAACTGTGTAACACTGATAGACTTATTTTTCTAAAGCATCGAAATAATTTCTAGAATCATCCACCCTTTCATCCGTTACTTCATCCTATCAATTTCAATCCTAACGCGATCCCAAGTAACGTTTTGTGGACATACAAGATTTATGTAGATACACTATTTATCTTTTTATAAGATCGATCTTCGGCAATTGTTTAAACTGCAAAGTTTTTATTTACACCTGTGCAAAATCGGAAATGTTCTCCCCTTGGAATCGTTCGCTTTGCAATCTGAAATCGAAGGGCAATTATTTTTTAGTACACCTTCGACCTATTCGTCGATTATTTCGAGTATTCTTAAAAAATTTGCTTCCTCTTTCTTTAAGACTAATTTACCAGCTCTGAGATCTCGATAGTACAATTAGTACCAATTCAAAGAGTGAAATATTTTCCCTTTTTTTTCATAATTATTTTAAATAAGTAAATAAACTTTAATTATGGAATAATGATTCGAACTTAACTAGAGGCGTGCATTTGAACCGTTGATGGAATCTTTGTAGCGATTGTATCGCGCGGCGCTTTGATCCCATTACTTGTCAGACTATTGGCCGACCTATACTACTGAATTCTGACTAAACCGAGAACCAGGCTCGGAGTAAACGGGAAATCGGCCTTTCCGGAAGCACGAGCGTGCCGAGAGAATTACGACGGAACGTTTTTCGGTTCGTTGATCCACGAAGAGAAGCCTCCTGGCAACCAGCTTCCTAGAATCGAATCCTGTATATTCGCGGGCCGAAAGGGAGAGGGAATCCTCGTGTTAATTGTGCCGCGAGTAAAAAAGGCGAACGGCAGGCGACACGAGAGTTTGGCACGGGCCTCCGCGAGCTGGTAAAAAGTCTTGGATCGCTTTGCCTCGCATAAATCGCGATCAGCCGACGCTTTTTCGGCTCGCGATCAACTGCTACTATCAATTTGTCGTTTGTTCGTCGCAATCGGAAATGGGACGACGCGTTACCCGAAATTTTAACCTCGGTTAGTTAATGCCCGTTGCACGTAATTTACTGTGAAATTCTAGGAATCTGGCGTCAGCAACAATTCCTGTCGTAAATCTCTCGGAAGCACGATGCTCCTAGAGCTAAATTGCCGAATCGATGTCTGCGCGCAGAGAATCGAGAGACACGGTGTATCGCGCCTATGAAACCGATCAAAGATCCTCTATGCACGATGCAATAGTGTAAATACCGTGCGATTTACGGAATATTTTATATCGTACACCTAATTAGTTTAAGATACTTGGCTTTATAATTGCGATACACGATTCGAAGAGTACGATTCGCGAAGTTGTCAATTTTTCGTCCGCGTGTAATCAGCGATAACATTTGCACCTGTTGCGGTGGGAGAACTATCATCGAGACAGCTGAAACCTGGTTAGTCGACGCGTTGCATCGTGCCACGCTGTCGAGTCATCGCTACGTGAGGCAGCTGGTTCATTTCGAGAGTAGTATCGATTTTTCCGTAACGGAGCGCGCTCTATCTATTATTCTCGTCTCGATTTTAATAATTCAACGCCGCTCGGTTGCGCCGCGCCGGAGATGAAGCGAGCGGACGGACAATCTGGTGGAGACTCTCCTCCGTTTAATGATTCGCTGCCAAAACACGCTGATTTCATTTCACGAACGATGTCTCCCGAGTTTAATACTTCACACCGTCCGTGGTCTCCACGCTTTTTCTCATAAACGTATCGATGACCGGTTCAAGCAGAAAGATTTAACTATTTATTGACTGCGTTGTTCGACTCAGGATGAGAAAATGAATTTGCTAGGTGCGCAGAAAATCTGTGGGAACACGATTAGTCGTTGACGTAATAACCGAGTATGGATCGTTCGACAATAACGTTGTTACTGTTATTACGACACCGCGGCCGAGTGATAATACCGTGATAATGCGTTCCGTATGCAGGTAGAACCGCTCGGCGTAGGTGGGAAATTATTCCTGGCATCGGTAATGGACTCGGTATCTGTGGCCTGCTGACGTATTACATTAAATCATTATTAATTGTCCGAAAATGTCGCGTGCCTTGCTCGCTTCAGAAATCACACCGACGAACGAGATTAAACGTGATCGTAAATCGAGATCTTAATATTAATTCGATTTAACATAAAAGATCCTGTTTGGAATCCGAAAATTTTCCGAAAGGAGTTTCGAGGCCATTCTGAGACTTAGCAAATGTGGGTTGAATGTCAATCTCCTGCCACATCATCATTTTTGTATTTGACAAGCGATGTCTCGCACGCGAATCATGGAGAAGACCGATAAAAATGTATATTTCGTTCGGCGATGCAAGTGCTTTTTAATAAAACAATCTCGCGGCGAACCGTTTGCGATCGGTGCTGGAAACGGGCTTCAGCGTTTATGTGGATGATGGGTGACGGATCGCATGAAACGCGAAGCAATACAAAAAGAATCGGTCATCTCGTTTGCGGACGCGTTCGAAATTTTTCAAAAGTGCTGGAACGCTGATTGCGGGTGAATAGAGAATCAAGCCTCGTTGAATAGGGAAGCAATCTTGGAGCAGCAACGATGCTCAGAATCGTGAAGGAGAGAGGAGGACGTGCTGGAAGGCACGCACCGAGATGTATCGGTGCACCGTTTCTGTCATGGAGTTATTACATTACCCTGATTGCACTCTCTCTCCTACGAGAAGAGAGCCACGCACGCTGTAGGATCCCCGACTGTAAAAGTCTCGGCTAATGCTGTTAATTAGACCGAGCGGCGCGTTATATGCTCGAGGCGGCCATTAACGAGCTCTCTCGCGAGACACTTTCACGCGTTCTTACCCCGGACGATCATTCGTGTTTGCTCGTGCTTAAATCCTCAGGTCTCGAGCGGTTCCCTCGTAGGATTTACGTGCGATCGATCAATAGATTTCAAATATAAAATATAAAGTTAATAAACTCGGTCATCTGTTTCATATATTCAATGACTCTGTCACGTCATTAGACGGAAGCTTCACTCATCTTTCTCGTTTCGCATTACTAATAAATAAACGTTCTTCCTAACTTATATCTATATGAACTATAGACTCTATAATTGTCTGTAAAATCTACTATCTCAATTCTTCTGCTCGTTTATATTCCTATGTATATAAAAAGAGTTCTCGTTAACTCGAGGAATAAATAAATAAATATTCTATTTCGCCTTCGATTATGGTGTTTTTCGCGGTGAACGGAGTTTGGGAAATCGATTATGTATCCTCTTTGGTGGCAGCGTGCCGCGTCACTAGAGAACTTCGAACGATTTTACTCTAACGGCGACTAACTCGTTTCGCATCGGTTGATGTGTTGCAGGTTGGCAGCGCAAGAGGCGGCACAAAGGGACCCTGGATACACGAGTCAGTACAGGAGAAGGCCGAGATTGGCCGGACTGAGTGGTCTCGGTGACTGGACTAGCTTTGGAGGGCAGGTAAGTACTTCGCTCGAAAAAGCCTTCGGAGCTTAGGACTTTCTTAGGACTTTTGGTCTCTAAACTTTAGAGGAAGTATAATTGCAGTTGGTCCTCATCGTGCCGCTCACCTTTCTCATCGATCTTTCGTTTCGTTTCTTTCTTCATCTTCAATATGAAATCGCTTTTTCTAATTTATAAATGATCACTGTATGTGTGTTCGAGATAGTTAAGAGAATAAATGCGAATTTTTTTATTGCGTACAGGTACCTGGTCTGGTGGACATGGCGCCAGGCCGGGATCAGGGCGGAGGGGCGGGTGGCGGTGGGGGAGGCGGCAAGGGTACCACGTCGTTGTTCATCCTATCGGAGGATAACTGCATTCGGAAGCATACACGGTTCATAATCGAGTGGCCGCCCTTCGAGTACGCCGTCCTGCTCACCATCATCGCCAATTGCGTGGTCCTCGCGCTAGAGGAGCACCTGCCGAAGCACGACAAGACCATACTCGCGCAGAAGCTCGAGGCCACCGAAATCTATTTCCTCGCGATCTTCTGCGTCGAGGCGAGCCTCAAGATCCTCGCCCTTGGCTTCGTCCTCCACCGTGGCTCCTATTTGAGAAACATTTGGAACATCATGGATTTCTTCGTCGTGGTGACCGGGTGAGCCAACATACATTTCTCTTTCAACGTTCTTTCTATCTTTCCCCCTCTTCCTTCGGGAAAACTGTACCCCGTAGAAGGATCCCAGCTTTCGAGAATCTCGAAATCTCGAGAGTTTTGTAAAATTCCTACGTACGTCGAAAACTGCGATCCTTCCGAAATAATAATTCGCGAAAGCTCGCTTCGGGTCTCACTTAATTTCGATCGTTGTGTACACATTTGTTCTGTCGCGAAGCTCTCACTCACGTCATCTCTCGTTCTCTCTCCCTCGTGTTCTTCTCCTTCGTGCAAACGCATTATCTATCTTTCGCCGACGGTCGCGAGAAGAACTAGAAAGCGTTCGAGCAGACACGCGGAGAGGAAAACAGTGGACGAAGAGAATGTTAAAACGCTTTGTTTCATACGACCCTTTGGTCAGGTTACGATCGAATTCCCACCGCGAGTTTCCAATGTCGATTTCGCGTTCACGTCTGTTACGAATTACCCGATTCCCCCCGATTTCGCCTCGAGGAGTCCCCTTTACGGAGAAAGCCTTTCGCAGTTGTCTGCGCTCTGAACCCTCGACGACCTTACGCGATTTTGTTATCTCAAAGTTGTAACGCATCTATTTCGTTTACGTATCAAACTTTTTATCTGTGAAAACCGATGCGAGTCGAGAATAGGTGAGATTTGCATCGACTGTCGAGGGTTTAAATGAGATTGATAAAAAATGGAATAGTAGAGATACGAAGGTGGAAAGGATCTTTCTCCGAAAGGATGTTAAGTTGTAAGGAGATCGCACGTCGATCGGAACGATTCCGGCGGAACAGATAGATTCTAGAGTGATCCTTGGATATTAGGTCGATGACCGTGTTCGCCGAAACAAACGTGGACGTCGACCTGCGTATGCTACGTTCCTTCAGGGTCCTCAGACCGCTAAAGCTGGTTTCGAAAATTCCAAGTGAGTCAGTCACAGTTCTGTGAAACGGCAAACAAAACGATTTGTTATACGTGTACGAACGCCACTATTTATCAAAGTAAACAGTACAGAGTGCAGTAACAGAGAACAGTCGAGCAGATTAACTAACTATAATTAATTAATATCCCCCCGTTGTTCCTGGCAGTTTGTGTGCGTTCGACTAGTCTCCTTAGATATTTAAAACGTTTCTTGATTAAAACCAGCCACACTTAGTTTTTCGTCGACCGTTTAGTTTCTCTTTATATCTCCCTTCTCTGTCTCAGTCTGTCCTCTCTTCTATATTTCTCTTTTGCTTTAGTTTAACTCGTTGTTGGGTCGACGTTTAGTTCTGGCAAGCGAGAGACCAGCATCAAGCTAATTTATCTGCGTACATATATACTTTAACACCTGTTATACATTTATTCGTCTATATCGTACTACGTACTTTTTAATCTCTGCCTTTCGTTAGTCTCCGTCCTTTTAGTTCCTCATTTATTTAGTTCTCCCGTGCTAATAAACTTTTACGTCGTTTACTTATCGTTGCGTTCCGTTTCTTATCGTTGATTGACCACCACTTAGAAGGCTATGGGTGTTATTAGATCAGTTGATTGACGCTAGATGATCGTTGCCAGTTGATGATCGATATTATGATTGAACGTGATATACATATATACACACACGTATATTCTCTGTGTCCACGTGGTTTGCGTAATTCGAGTGTCTTATTATATTACTATCTATATGCGTATTATTAATTATTGTACACTCTACTGTCTCTCTAGAGTCTAGAGGAATTGCGTGAACTAGTCGCTAGTTATATACCACTTGCTCTATCTTCTGCGTTTATGTTCAGTTTTCTGCACACGTTTATTCGTACTATCTTAGAGAGTACGTACTACCAGAGTCGAACCGGACGTATCACTAGACACGTACACGCACGTACACGAAAAAAAAAACAAAATTTCAAACGACCAAGTAACTACCGAGCTCGTATTAAATTTTTCGTTCTCCGTCTGTGATACCTAAGAATTCGTTGTAACGAGTGCACGAACGTCGAAGAACTTTCTTACATCACGAAATTCATGTTAGTTTGTGCAATAAAGAATTGAAGAAGTTCCAAAGAATTTGACTCGGGATAGCATAGACGCGACTCTGGACGAAATTCGCGGTACAAGTAATATAAACGATGTCGCAGCAGAAAGACACATTTACACGATTGACGCAAGAGTTACTGGCCTGCAGGTATATCTATATATTTAGCAGAACTGTCATTAGCCACGATCACCGACCGATAGACCCGACGATACTATACGTTGGTAAATAGGTACGTGTCCTAGAGCAGTAACAAGTATTCGAGCAAGCTCGTGTTTTTATTGCTAGAGAGTCGTGTGTACCTTTTAGACACCCTCGAGAGACCGAGTTCGTATAGTCCCGCTGAGTTCTTTAGACTCTTCGACCGAGATATCCTCCACTCTTGTACGTCTTCCTTCGATAACCCGATAATTTCTCTCTTCCCTTCGAAGGATCATCGAAAGGGAAAAGCGTCATTTCTCTACGTGGACGCGCGGTAACAAAGTCTCGCCTATTCCGAGAAAGTATCATTCGCCGAAATGAAATCAATTTTTCTTCCACGCGAACAAGAGTTCTCGGTAAAAATCCTCTGGCTTCGAGAACTTTTCCCGTTCTCCAAGTTTTAGTTACGATTTCCCCGATAGCGAAGTATCTTTAGGGCTACGGTAATCCGTAATCATTCCTAGATTTATCCGTCGAGGTCGTTCGCACTATGTAAAAATGATGTTTCCAGTGGAACGAACCAACGTATTTATAGCCGAACGAACGACAGTAAGGGTAAGTTTTCCGGCTAGAGAGGAAGTTGAACGACCCCGGTGGATGTTACGTTTTATCACCTTCGTGAAACTAGAGTTATAGAGTTATAGCCGGCAGGATTATATTCAACAGCATCTAGAATTAGAATCTCGCGTGAGTAATTCAATAAGAACTTCCCTCCTCTGTCCAACGGCGGAAATCCCCCTTTGAAAGAAGCTCGTCAGTTTAAACATTTAATTAGTTGCTCGATTCCATCCCCCCATCCCATCGATGATCGACGAGTTTCTTCGAAGCCTTCCGCGATCGTGCGCTTAACCCGTAACTGGTAGAACGATCGCTTCATCGTTTCAAGATAAGTTGACAAACGTTCATAGAGAGATAATCATTACTCGAACCCTGTTTAGAGATCTCATAGTTACTCTTAAAAGAATAGTCTCCTTCAAAATCGCATCTGATGTCGTACGTGTATTCCAAAAGTGATGTAACGAAACTAATTCCAGATTAAAACATTTCTAATTGAACTTCTTTTCGAAAAATACGTTTCTTTAAGTAGTCACTTTTGGCACGCATAGGCGGCGCGTAGTTTCATCCCCCTTTCGATATCAATTTAGAAAAAGAACCAATGCCTAACGAAACGTGTACCAAGTCGAAACAAAATTGATTTCGATGAGATGAAAGATGAAGAAGAAGAAGCGAAGATATATCGGTCCCAGATTCGAGCCCAATTAGACGGTTCTCTCTCCCATTTCTCCCAAGGCAAACGGGTTTACATAGGCCATAGAAACGCATATACATAGTTAAACCACCTAGTTGTGTAGCTTAAGTATTTAAGTAGCGTGAAGTATTAGTGTAATAGAGTAGTAAGTAGTAAAGCGTGGCGGGGTGTGTGTGTTTTGGGGCAGGTTCATCACGGCGTTCTCGCAGGGCATAGAACTGGATATGGATCTGCGCACGTTGCGTGCGATACGCGTGTTGCGACCGCTCAAACTTGTCTCCGGCATACCGAGTGAGTAGCGTTTCAATACAATTCGGCACACCGATCGCAAAAAAAAAACACAACAATAATGACAACGAGAAACGATAAAAAGAGAGAAAGTTCAGCCGAGTTCAAACGAAATTTCGCCTGGTCTCGTTTTTGGCATAGAGGAAACTGTTCGTAACAAGTAGAAGTTGATTTAGAAATTTCGGGTCTTGGCCAAATTCGCTGTCGAGTCACGATTATACCCCGCACGGAGCGGGCTAATTTTTGTCGGTTGAAATTAGAGCAGGACGAGGAATCAGGGCTCGTTGCTCGAGGAACGCGCGCAATCGCCACCCCGCGATTCGTGCTCGGATACTTCGTGCTCGGTTCGACCGGATATATCCGTTTTTCGTCGAGGTTCATCGATTTAGCTGCTACGTAGATCCGATTACGAGCGAACAGAGCGACTAACGTTTACTCGGACGTACATACATATTATGCTCGTAGATCTCAGTGTAGTAATTAATTATATTATTGCAAGTATATACTATATTATATTTCTATATCTATATATTATCTACACGTAGATGCCTTGCAACGCTAGAACGATTATTTTGTTTACGTAGCACCACCCAAATAGATCTATATTATATATGTATATCTTTTGAGAGTTGTATGCTGTGTCCATTGTAACGAGAACGAAGTATCCCGATTCTTTTCAATCTGACTGTGTGCAACGTTCAACCAGGAAACGCATCTTCGAATGCGATGCGATTTGAAAATTAGCGGTGAAGAGTATGCATACTATATATAGCACGCACGCTTCCCCGAGCAGCGAGGAGAGTAAAAATAAAGTGAAAAGAAGAAATGAAAGTTGAGTTGAAACGAGTCGAGTTAAGAGACACGTGAATCGCTTGGAGGGCACGGTGATTGGGCCTAATTACTCCTGTCGAACTTTTTCTATCCGCAATAGGTCTCCAGGTGGTGCTCAAGTCTATCATCAAGGCGATGGCCCCGCTTCTGCAGATCGGCCTGCTGGTACTTTTCGCCATCGTGATATTCGCCATCATCGGTCTCGAATTTTATTCGGGAACTCTGCATAAAACGTGTTACAGCATCAGGGATATCAGTGAGTAGCGTCCAAACGACTCCTTCTCAACCTACTCCTTCCTCCGTTCCTGTTCAATGGATTACGGATCCACCCTTCATATTCGTGTTCAATTCGTAAAATAATTAAGATTCTTAATTAGAAAAATGGATTAAGGTAATAATCGATGTCGTGCGAAAGAAATGTAGCCCCGTTTTGGTAAAACTCGATGTCTGACCGGTCATTCGGCAAACGGGAACATCGACCCGCGAACTGTGCCGGAGGCTAGGCAGATCTGATACGGATATCGTTTTAGGTGTAATCGTGAAGGAGGGCGAACAGGCGAGCCCGTGTAACACGGACAACAAATCGGAGGCGCCGTTCGGGGCCCACGTGTGCGACGCGAACGTCTCGACGTGCATGGATCACTGGGAGGGACCAAACTTCGGCATCACCAGCTTCGATAACATCGGATTCGCCATGCTCACTGTCTTCCAGTGCATCACTATGGAGGGCTGGACTGCCATATTGTACTGGGTAAAGCAAGAGATATGTCTCTCAGTGTTGTAAAACTCTCTGTACCATCTATCTATATCTATGTATATCTGTTTCTTATCTATACGTATCCTCCCGTCGACTATTTAAGATCTTCGCGTTCGCGTTCTTCCGTTACTTTTTCTATTCTACCGTCGTTTGTTTTTGGCGAACTCCACTTCTCTAATTGCACTACAAACGGGATTCCCTGTGTTTCAAGCCTCCCTTTCATCTTCTGTCCCTCTTCACCTTTTGGAATCTCTACATACACCATTTCACGTGCATGAACATTTCCGACCCTTCTTCCAATCGACTAATCGTATACAAATTCGAAGCTCCCGAGCCAAATACAAACGACTGGAATGATAAATTGTCTTCGATCGACGCGTTCCACGCATCATATCAATACGTATCTCGTTCGATTGTGCTTGCCCTATCATTCTTCGACTCTTCGATACTTTTAAATGTGATGTTTATTTCAACACTCGATTTTTTTTCGGTGTTTAACCGTCTACATGTTTCTCTCTTTCACCTTTTCGATCTCTGTGTCTGTGGCCCGATGAACTACCGCTTTCCGCCGTGTTTTACTTTATTTATTTTATACGTTACGTTCACCGTCGAATCAAGGAGGATGAAAAGTTTGCTTGCAGACGTGTTTTACGCTAACACTGACCCACATGTTCACCTTGCTCAGTATGACACTGTCAGTTTCAGCCCTCTTCGCAAATCTTTGATGTTCGATATTGTACAACTCGAAATCGCATCGTTACAGGAATAGAAAAACCTTTGACGATGCTCGCGAGTTGTTTCTCGATGTTTTTGATACTTTTAGAAAGTGGGAATAGTTTTTGAAAACGCGTATAACGTAAATGGCTTTGCGATATTCTTATCTATTTTTGAATCGTTGCATTTCACTGTTGCAATAATGCAACGACGAAAGAACTAATTTCACGATATCGTGGATTTTCATAAAAGAATGAATATTAAAAATGGGTTATAAAAATTGTTAGAGTACTAGATAGAATCTAAACGAAAGGGAGAGTAGGGGTTGAAAAGAAAAAGCGATTCCGTTTAAGTATCTCGTTGTTTGCTATATGTATGCCGTATGCCACTTTTGGTTTCGATCTACGCGATCGATGCGCGCGAAACGAAAAGTTAAAACAGCCTGGATGTTGGATAAACGATGATTCGCGTTCGCACACGTAAACGTGGCTTCACGTGGCCTCTGGTCGAATTTCCAGACAAACGACGCTCTCGGCAGCACGTACAACTGGATTTACTTTATACCATTGATCGTCCTTGGCTCATTCTTCATGCTGAACTTAGTTCTCGGTGTCCTGAGCGGGTGAGTACTCTCGTTATCAATTTTTATCGCGACCCTCATCCTATCTCGAAAACGTGCAAAAGACTCGTGTCATATTCGTGTATTAATCTTCGTCCATCGATACGATTCTTGCTTATGTTTTTCATATCAAAATTTCTGAATATTTTCTTCCATACTTTTATATTAAATTTACGGAGAAAGGTGGACGAGGATTAAATGAATTTCATATAACAAATTGTCGTAAAGCAACGAGGAGAGTTCGGATTTGGGGTGCACGGACTCTTGGATCGGCTCGGGTTGCCGAAGACCCGGTTAAAGAGCGACCGATTATCATTGTTTCTGTTCGTCAGGGAGTTTTCGAACGAAAGAACACGCGTCGAGAGGCGAGCGGCTTATCAGAAAGCAAAGAGAAAGCGTCTATTCACGACTGCGTTCAGTGCCTACTTAAAGTGGATCACTCAAGCAGGTCTCGAAACGAATCGATCTTCCCCCTTCCTCCCGCCCACCACCCACCGAAGTTTATCGCGCTAGATTTCTCTGTATTTGCTCGCGTTCCATTCCTGATTTCAGTAACGAAGCCAGAGTAAAGCGCTACTTACTATTCTTAGTACTTACTGCCTTAGCGCCGCACACGCACAGTACGCACAGTAGTAATATACGAGTTATATCCGACCGGCAATACAACGCATCCTACGGCTTAGACAATTCGATTTAACTCAAAAGTTAAACAAAGAGGATGCAGATAAGTTGTAATCTTCGTCGATGCTATCAAACGATATTTGGAGGAATTGGAGATATCGTACGCTTCGTACATTCCTCTCAATGCTTCCGTAAACGTCACCGATAAATTCAAGCAATCCCAGTCTCAATGTAATATCCTCGATAAAAGACTCGCTAGTGTAATTATTTGAATATAAAGTTGAATCGACACCTGTGTAACTCATACATAAGTAATCGTAAAAGAGATCGAACATCCCCGTCCCATCCGTAAGCGGCTCTTTATCATTTGTGTAACGCTTGTAGAGAGTTTGCGAAGGAGAGAGAGAAAGTGGAGAACCGGCAGTCCTTCCTCAAATTGCGAAGACAGCAGCAGCTCGAACATGAACTGTACTGCTACCTGAATTGGATCTGCAAAGCAGGTTAGAAAGTCAACATATGCCAATGGTACATACGTATATGTGTACCTGTACATATATCGATTATACATAATATACATATCGATCGCGAGCAGTACCGTTGCCTTAGGCTATAGTCTCTCTAGTAGCTTTTGTCCTCTCTGGACCAGTAATTTAACGCATCGTTTAGCGAGATCGATTCTCTTCTATTTCCCTGTACCGATCGTTCATGCACAAAGTATAATAAAAATATTGTTTTCTGTTATTTATAGAGGAGGTAATACTCGCCGAAGAGAGGACCACGGAAGAGGAAAAGAAGCACATATTAGAAGGTTCGTGCCTCGAGGGACTCGATTTATTTTTGAAAAATTTTCTTTGCCCGAGCGACCAGTTATTATTAATAAAGAGGAAAAATGTACACGACGTGTATACATGCGTGTCTTTCTCGTAGGAAGAAAAAGAGCCGAGGCGAAAAAGAAGAAGATTGGAAAGAGCAAAAGCACCGACACAGAGGAAGAGGAAGGCGACGACGACCAGGACGACGGTGAGTACCACTTCTACAGCTCCCGGTTTGCTAGTTGCCGTAAAAATGAACGAATGACGACGGATTCGCATCTGCTTCGCAGGGTTCTCGAGGTCCTCGTCGACGAAGGAGAAAGGGCCGTGCAATCAGTTTTGGCTGGCCGAGAAAAGATTCAGATACTGGATACGAAAGTCGGTGAAATCGCAAAACTTTTACTGGTTCGTCATCATTCTTGTGTTCTTCAACACCGTGTGCGTGGCCGTGGAACATTACAATCAACCTGAATGGCTCACCGATTTTCTTTGTGAGTACCCGATAATATTTTATTTAATACTACGCGCGGCAATACAGGGTGAACAACAATTTTCTTTTGCAAAATGGGGTTCAGTGACTGGATTATTAACAAAAAGTACTGTTGAATAAGAGCTCGCGGTCGGCGCAAGTACCGCCCCGGAAGTGTTGGCTCGGATCGTGACGATTACAGCCGGGCGTCACGATCATCTTTCTCATAATTTTTCGCTCGGCCGGAAAGTGGGGACGACGCGACCATGGTGGGGACTGGTACTTGATGGGGATATGCTAGGCATGGTCAGCGAAGGCGCATGAGGAGAATAGTAGTGGGGATCGAAATACGGGCGAAAAAGAGGGGAAGCGAGCCGTGCGCGAAAAATTATGAGAACGCTGGTCACGATCCGAGCCAACACTCCTGTGGCTGACCCCGCGTGCTCTCGTTGGTCAATGTTTTTCGTTAATAATTCAGAAACCACGCCATACTTCACATTTGTTGTTCAGAGACACCTTCAGAATCACCCATCTTCGATTCTAACACGTTTTCTGAGACACCCTGTATGGATCGTATTAACACGTAGTACATGAATGTTGACAGATTACGCGGAATTCGTGTTCCTGGCCCTGTTCATGCTGGAGATGTTCATAAAGGTTTACGCGCTCGGTCCTCGCACATACTTCGACTCGAGCTTCAACCGTTTCGACTGCGTGGTCATCTCCGGATCGATCTTCGAAGTAATCTGGTCCGCGTTGAAGTCCGGCTCTTTCGGCCTCTCCGTCCTACGTGCCCTTAGACTCCTGCGAATTTTTAAGGTCACCAAATACTGGAAGAGCCTGAGGAACCTCGTAATATCGCTGCTCAGCTCGATGCGTAGCATCATATCCCTGCTCTTCCTTCTCTTCCTCTTCATTCTCATATTCGCGCTGCTCGGCATGCAGCTGTTCGGCGGCCAGTTCAACTTCGAAGCAGGCACGCCGCCCACCAACTTCAACACCTTTCCCATCGCGTTGCTCACTGTCTTCCAAGTAAGTTACACGACACTCGCGAGTTTTTGTTCTCGCCAGTAGCTTGTTACTACCGATCGTAGTCGTTTGTTTTCAAGGAAAGAGAATACGAGACATGGTCTTTCCTGTTATCTCGCATCCTTAAACGAGCTTTCGTAGAAAGAGGAACAGATTCGATTAGTTCTGCTAATAGCATGCCAATGAGACTTCGTCGTTGCACATTGTCAGTTCGCGTAATAAACGGATTCGGTTTTGATGGGATGTCTCAGATCCTGACTGGAGAAGATTGGAACGAAGTGATGTATCAGGGTATAGAGTCGCAAGGTGGTACCAAGAGAGGCATGGTCTACTCGCTCTATTTTATCGTGCTGGTGCTGTTCGGCAACTACACGCTGCTGAACGTGTTCTTGGCTATCGCCGTGGACAATCTGGCGAACGCGCAAGAATTGAGCGCCGCCGAAAACATGGAGGAAAACGAGGACAAGCAGAAACAAGCGCAGGAACTCGAGAAGGAGATCCAGACTCTGCAAAAACCGAAGGACGGTAACGCGCCGAAGGTAGAGATCTGTCCTCCGAGTCCGAACCAGAATTTGTAAGTTTTCGATCGTCGTCCGTACACCCGTAACCTCGTGATCCAACATCGTTTAGGGAACGAATACTCGTGGGATTTCAGCAAAGACGGTAAAGGTGAGAAACAGTCATCCGAAGAAGAGAAAAAGCAGGACGAAGACGATGATACGGGACCAAAACCAATGCTGCCATACTCCTCCATGTTTATACTGTCCCCTACGAATCCGTAAGTTATTTTCTCGAATTCGGATCGAGTCGACGAGTAAGTCGAGACTTCTCATCGGTGCGCGCGTATTCGTCTGTGCAGAATAAGAAGAGCCGCCCATTGGGTCGTCAACTTGAGGTACTTCGACGTATTCATAATGGTGGTGATAACGTTGTCGAGTATCGCGTTGGCCGCCGAGGATCCCGTGTGGGAGGAATCGCCGAGAAACAAAGTACTGAACTACTTCGATTACGCGTTCACCGGTGTATTCACCGTCGAGATGCTACTGAAGATAGTCGATCTCGGGATCATCCTTCATCCGGGCTCGTACCTGCGCGAGTTCTGGAACATTATGGACGCCGTTGTGGTGATATGCGCCGCGGTATCGTTCGCGTTCGACATGACCGGTAGCTCGGCCGGGCAGAATCTCTCGACGATCAAATCGCTGCGAGTGCTGAGGGTGCTCAGACCGTTGAAGACGATCAAGAGAGTGCCGAAACTGAAGGCGGTGTTCGACTGCGTCGTGAACAGTCTAAAAAATGTCATTAACATTCTTATAGTGTACATATTGTTTCAATTCATATTCGCTGTGATCGCGGTGCAGCTGTTCAACGGGAAGTTCTTCTTCTGCACCGACGAGAGCAAATACACGAAAGAGGAATGCCAGTGAGTACGAACATCTTCGTCTTTTTTACAGTCGATCCTCGCTCTCGATCTTCGCTTAGGTAAAGCGTATCTATCGTAAACAATCGTTAGAACGTTGTTCGTTTTTTCGTTTGTTCGCTTGTCTCATGGTAATCCTTCCGTCGCAGGGGTCAATATTTCGTTTTCGAAGACAATGGCATGCTGCCGGAGCCCAGGAAACGGGAGTGGAGCACGCAATCGTTTCATTACGACAACGTGATGGCTGCGATGTTAACGTTGTTCGCAGTACAGACCGGCGAGGGCTGGCCGCAGATATTGCAGAACTCGATGGCGGCCACTTACGAGGACAAGGGCCCCATACAGAATTTTCGTATAGAGATGTCCATTTTCTACATCGTCTACTTCATCGTGTTCCCATTCTTCTTCGTGAACATCTTCGTGGCCTTGATCATCATCACTTTCCAGGAGCAGGGAGAAGCCGAATTGCAGGACGGCGAAATCGACAAGAATCAGGTTCGATCGAAACACCCTCGAAACGATCTTGTCACGTTTTCTTTTCTCGTAGACCAAAGATCGACGCGGAGGAAAATACCGATGGACGTGGATAATCATTTGGGGCTCGTTTCAGAAATCTTGCATAGACTTCACGATCCAAGCGCGGCCGTTGGAAAGGTACATGCCGAGAGATCGGAAAAGTGTAAAGTTCAGAATCTGGAGTATAGTGGTATCGACGCCGTTTGAATACTTTATCATGTGTCTCATCGTATTGAACACACTGCTGCTCATGATGAAGGTAAGCATCCACGATTCGTTCGTTCGCTCTTCTGTCTTTTTCTTCCTTCTCCTCGAGAGAGAACGGGCGTACCCGCTCCTCTCTCCCTCGGGGAGGGAAATCTAACAGATTTTTTCTTGTGGACGTTACGAGCCTGATAACGTACGACGCGGAACACGAGCCGGAAAGAAGCTAAATCCATTTAAACACGTTTACGTAAGCTTTTGTCGGCCGATACCGGTTGTTCGTTCTAGTCGAGTTTCGCTCGCGTTTCGGCAACTTTAACCAATCGAAAAGCAGCCTAACACCGATTATTACCGATTCTCCCGATTCCGTTGGGAATAACGATGCACGATGGAGAGTACGAAGTGACTGTAAGATATCATATATCTAACGTTACGATCTGTACGAGGACATTGTTGTTCTTGCCTGCCAATTTATTTATTGCTCTCTGTATAATTGTCATCCGTTGATACGTGTACACAGCTGTGTTGACTTCTCTCTTGTGTCTCCTTCCTCTTTCGGAATCGAGACCCTATACTCTACTATACACCTTTCTACCCTTCTTCTTCTTCTTTCCTCCATTCGATGCAGACCTTTGTTCCAACCCTCGTGTCTCGATTCGCTTATTTATCATTTGTTGCTCCTTTCGTTCCGGAATCGAGACACTTTTATTTCTACGACAAACGCGAGCGAATGCCATAAACGTCTTTCGCAAAAATAAATAATAGATTAAAAGTCTCGATTAAAATATGATTTGTAATTCGTCTTCGTACGATACATTCTGTATAATTTTATGGCGTTCGCGTTACGTTTCAAACACCGCATTCAGTATTATTTTCTGTTTTATTGTGCGTTACTTTCGTTACATTCCGTTCGATTCGATTTCGTTGCCGTTTATTGTTTCCCGATCCTCTTACTGCATGCCCGCTGCTATGTCCTCGTTTCGATAGTAATTGTACCTCGAAGACGCGTGGAGATGAACCGATTATCGACTATCGATGTGCTCCCACGATCACGCACACACGTTCACGTACACACATACACACGACGTGCGTTCGACTCGTATTTACGCCTTTGGCAAGCCCATGTTCGAACTGGTGGCGGGGTTCGACGCGTTGCACAAGCTTCATCCGATTCGAATCGACGACTTCGGAACTCGGAAACGGAAAAGAAAATGAGAACGGCTTTTCCGAAGAAAAGGGAAGAGTCGCGGCATAACACAAACTCTGCGCACGAAGCCACGTGTCTTAGACCGCGCTTCGTACCACTTATCTATCTCTCTTAATTCGTTCATTTTTTTATTATTATTACTTGGATCGTTGCACAGTTTGCTATATTCATTTGTCGTCAAAAGGCTGAACCGTGGACAGTATTTCAAAGAATTATACGTAGATGCAACTGGTCTTGCAAACCTGACGGAGTTGAACGTTTTTAGAAAAATTTCAGCGGACGCACGCGACACGTAGTGGCATATTGCAATCACGAAACAATATTAATACCTGGATCGAAACCACGGTTGCAGCTTGATCGGACACACTTTTATGATTTTCACGACTAATCGAATGTTTTCATTCGACGATACGAATCCGCCTATATACTGCCTGACGATGCGAACAAAACACATCTTGCGCACCGTATATAATACAGCACATGGCCTTGAGAATGAAGCGCGCACGAGTGTCACACAGTCACACGCTATGTCTGAATGTGATCGTAACGTCGCGAAAGGACGAAAGAGACCGGAGACTCGACCGCTGTTTTTCCGAACGTCTCGACCGAGCCCAAAGGAAAAGCGTTTGATCCCCCTTTCTCTCTCTCTCTCTCTCTCTCTCCTTTTGTTCAAAGGCATGTTGACACGTTACGCATACGCACGTTCTGGTACACGATGTCCACACTCGCGCACACAATCGTTGTTAATTAATCGTTTCACACGCGCACAGAACTGCGTGTCGCATGCTGGCTGCTCTGGCAAACCTCGTGATCGCGTTGCCCAGCGAGAACTGAAAACGACGACGCGAGAGCCTTCCACCGAATGTGTATGTGTGTTTATTCTACTGCGGCCACAAATATAACGACACGTATACTTTGCACGGGGCGCCTGCACGAGTTACGATTAATCCCTTACCACCTTCGAAACTGAAAAGACACGAAAGAGAGAAAAACGGTCCCTGTGTGTCTCGGCGAAGGGATATCCACGGCAAGTCCTTTACTAACTCCATCCATTCTTTCTTCTGTTCTTTTCTTCTTAGCTCGCTCTTATCCTTTTCATTCAAATTTTCGTTTCCTTACGTTTTTTTCTGTTGCTCTCTTCCAGACACCGGAGTCTCACCCACCCGAATACTAATCCCACCGCGACGCAACGATCGAGAAATCGTAAACTATTTCGATCTATCATCGTTGTCTCGATCGTCGCGTTGCGCATTGTACAGGATAATTAACTGCTAACTTAAAAGCGATCACTTGATCCTCGTCAAGTAAATTGGCCGACGGTATTAGCGGTACGAAGATCCGATTTTCAGAATTTACATCCAACAAGCAGGACTGTATGCATCAATCCTCGCGTGCAGTAAAGTGTAGTCGATGGAATAACTGCTATAGCCGGTTAATTACTTATCGCGTTGAAAATAACTTCTGAAATGGTACTCGTTCCGATGATGCTATAGCGATTCCAACAACTATACGATGTAAAATCGTCCCTATCGTTCTATCGGTATAAAAAAAGAAAGAATTTCTTTAATGTCACCGTCACTGTACGCAGATACACGTATCTAGGTTAATGCTAATATTATACACCTGTGTGTACCCCCCTTTTCTCTGTTGACTGGAAATAGTAGACGCGCGTATGTATGTACACACTAGCGTGTAACTTACAGATTTCGCACTCTATTTTACACGTTTCTTATAATACGTACACACATAGGTGTTTGAAAAATTGGATCGAAGGGACCGTTCGCCGATACGCGACGCGTCTGGTATTCTAAGCGCCGAAGGGTGCTTCTGTCTCAACTTAGATTCAAACTTGCGCAAGCGCTAAAATTGTAACGCGCCAATTTCCACCTCGTCGCGCGATAACGATTCTGTCGCAGAAGCGTATCGATGAACGGACTGCTCGGTAATTAGAGAGCATCGTAGAACCTCGATCGTCTACTCTAACCGGGAAAAGATGAAAAGGATATTTGCCTATCGTATCGCTTTTCCTAGATTCACCTCTCGTAACATAAGAGAATGATGAGAACGTTAACTTGAATAATAAGAATCGAGGTTCTGTCGTAGATTTTACTCTCTGTCCGAGCCTCCCGATTTCCCTCCGTTTCTCCATTTTCATCGTGAAACGGCAAAGAACATCTTATAGGATCGTAAATTTCGATCGTTTATCGGCAAATGAAAGAGAAATGCGCGCGTTGAGAGGCTTGTACGTCTGTCTGTCTGTCTGTCAGTCTGTTTGTCTGTCTGTCTGTCTGTTTGTCCGTCTCTCTCGGCCCGTGTGTGTTGTCAGTGTATGCATTGCAGTTTCATCGGCAAAGCGACGTGTACAAGAACACGCTGAAGTACATGAACATGTGCTTTACGGGGCTGTTCACCGTTGAGTGCATACTGAAGATCGCCGCGTTTGGCGTCAGGGTAAGCTCGAATCACGACAACGATCCCTGAATCCCGAACGAAACCCCCGTTCCCGCCCCCTCGTTCACCCTCTCATCGAACAGATTTATCGAGAGAATGTACTTATTTATTCGTTTAGAATAGTCGGCTTCGAGCCGGACCTCTGTCGAAAATTGATCGCTTACTTACTTTATGGCAAACTTTTTTTTTACGACGATCAGTTTTCGCAGTAAGCTGGTAAGTTTCGCTTATTAGAGAGTAATTAGAGACAATGATTAGAAACGATACAAGGGTAGCGTCTTGTCAACTCGAGTATACCGTTAGAAAACCTTTAGTGTCCAGGGCTGAACAAACGCTCTACGTCTGATTGTAACGAGCTATAGCTGCGCCTTCTGCTCAATCCTTAATCCTTCTTACTATCAGTAGTTATTAAACTTCTAGTAGTGCGATAAGCTCGTGTATACCTGTACGTAACGTAGAATGCCATATTGTATGAAATGCTATCTAATCTCCTTCGAGTCTGTAAAAGTGTAAAGGACAGTAGCGAATGCTCGGCTCTGAATGCGTTTCTCGTTTCACGAGAATTGTGCGATCGAACCGATCGTTACATTATACGAGACGTAGAACTTGTCTTCTGATTAAGAATGCATTTAATCGCGAGCTGCCTTGACCAGCGCGTTCAAATTAATGGTACAAAAAAGCTATGAACAATTTTTTTGATTCGCTCTTAAACGCGTTTCTTATCTACAATATCCTGTTAGGTTAGTATTTATATGTTAAAGCAAGAAACACGAACACTCGCACGACAGAACACAAGAGACACTAAGATACAAAGGCGTAACTGTCACGTTCAATTTACGTTGTTACATTTTCCTTTGTCTCTCTCTTTCTCTCTCTCTCTCTTTATTCCTTTCTTCGGATCGTTATTTTAATTTGAGAGAAACTATTTTTTCCTACAAAATACGTAGAAACATACTGTATAGTACGTCGAACGGGGGAAATCGGCCGCACAGCCTCGGAAAGGATTAAGGAATCCTTGACAAACGATATTACTCCTTGCATGCTGCCCGCCTTGTTGCATCCGCACGTGATCACTGCACGTCGACGTGTTTATTATCCTTGCATGCGTGTATCGCTTCGAATTCGAATACCGACTTCCTTCGATCTTTGCGAGCGAGTCTAACGAATCAGAAGAAAAGTAGAAATGCTTAGAAGACGAAGAAGATGAAAAGGAGGATTGATATTCGACATTGAAGAATGCCTCTCTTGTTGCAACGATTGCGTGTTACGAGCCAAACGTTGATGTTATTGCGTAATCACAAACGATTGCATCGAAGTATCGGAAAATTATGAGAAATCTTTAGCGGAATCCCCGTGCCGATTCTCTATGCCTCGAAATTGCAATGGAAGGCAATATTCGATCGAAGGAAAAGCCCCGAAGCCTCCGGTTTTCGCCACACGCATGATGCCATTTCCTGTGCCATCGCCAGAAAGAAGGATCGGTTTCGGGCGGGTTCCACCGACACTCACCACACACACACGCACACGCACACGGAATAAACTTGGTCTCGCGCGCGTCTCGGAATTCGCGTCTCTCGGAGATCGCTCTTTCGAAGATTGGTTAGATTTGCTTGGGAAATAAAATTGATCGTTCGTCGCGACGAGATCACTTCGATCTTTCGGAAATGAAGAATCAATTAAAAATATCGTAACGTTTTCACGTTTCTCTTTTCGTTGAAATAAAGTTCGGGACAGTGTACTTATGTTTCCGGCAACGCGTTATAACAAGATTAAAGGTAATGTGATAAAATAAGTGAAGATCAAATAGACAGAGAAGAAGTTGTAGAATCTATAAAAGTATTCTTGTACAACTATCTTTTCCGTCTAATTTCATTTCGCAACCACGGTGGTTTGACGAACGAACCGGAAAAATTGTTAGCAACAATTAAAGATGACGATTCGTTCGATCCGTTGAACCATCGTAGATGAAATACGTGAAAAGAACGATTATTCTTGGTAATACTAAAATGATCAAAGAGAACCGATGAAATCGTGTTTGGCCAACGAAAGATAAATAAAATAAAAGAAACGGCCGTCGATATAAAGTCCGGAGCTTGTGTCACGTCTGTGTGTTGGGTGTATTTTGTAGTATCACGACGCGCCGCCAAGTCTAGTGGACGCCTTGAGTGGCGTGAACTTCGCCGTCACCGTCCTTTTCCTCTTTGAGTGCATCCTCAAAGTCATCGCCTTCGGATGCAAGGTATCAAATATATATGCCTTTTAATCACTAACAACAAATTCCACGAAACTTCGATCACACGCGGCCACTCTGTCGATCATACATCGTAGCACTCTCTACATTCTTTTTCCAGTGAGATTTCACTCGAATACTCGTAAACGAGAAGCGAACGCTGGTTCGAAATGCGATATTCGCTTCGAGAGAGAGAAAAAAAAAAATGAAATAGTGAAATCCTCTTGTCATTTCGCCGAACGTCTTTTGCGCATTGTCGAGAAGACCGAGAAACCTCGTCGTCGATCCGTGATTTCCCGATCGAGAAGCGAACGGGAAAAGTTTGACCGGTGCCAGAAAAGAGGAGTGCGTATATCGATTTCGAAACGAATAAAGGTGCGAGTGGAAAATGGAACGCTATTACATACACGCATGCCGTGAGAATAGTTGCTTCGTAATACTTTCCCACCTTATTGCTAGTTTTGTGTGTAGGTAACGCAGATGAATTACGATACGTAGTATATACATTATACTTTGAACCGGTATTTTAGAGGGAAGCTAGCGTGGTATACGTAAGCGAGATTAGCGTAACGTACGTACATATACCTGGCCGAGGAAGCTGCGATAAAGTTGAGATTTTTGCGCTGATACTCTTTTTAATTGGCTTGCATATTTTAAACCGGTAGACCAACGGCGACCTCTTTCCTGGCTACGAAAAAGAGCTGGGATAAAAAGTAGAGCTTCTCGCGATTAAACCGCGGGTCTCTCTGTCTCTTTATCCCTCTCTGTCTATCTAGTTTGCTTGCTATTGTACCTATTACGTCATGCTCCCGTAGTGGATATTTCTCTCTAGAGGAAATCCCGGTCGCTAACTTCGTGTACTTTGCCCGATCATCGATCACCCGGATAATTGCCTAAATACCCCCTTCACTCTCATATCTCTTTTCATGTTTTACGTAACATTCGAACCACAAGCAACGCCCAAATCGAAAAAGAATCCGCGTTTTATTTCCACTATCAATCAGTACCAATAAATAAATTGAAAATCATCAACCCAGTTTTCGAATAACTCAATCGATGGCTCTTCAATTTGTCAAATCTATAAAACTGTAGTTCAGCCCTCGGGGTGGCTCATTTACCCACGGTAGAACATTATTTTGTGTGACAGTTATTGCGATATTTATAATAGATAGATAGATATAGAAACGACGCGCCAGAATTTAATTTTTAAGTGAGAAGAAACGGCCTTTAAAGCAAGACTCTTCACACGTATTTTCTTAATTGACAATTAAACTCGTAGAGAGGCGTCTTTCACACGTAAACGAGCACTCGCACTCGCATACACAGGTACACGTACACGTATACACGCGCGCAACACAGAGCAGTAAGGTCGAAGCTCCCAAAGCAGACTCGAGCATTTCATTTCTTTCCCCCCTCTCTTTCTCTGTATATCAAATGAAGCTCGTAATTTATTAACTCTAGTACCCGTAAAACCATTTCACACACCAAGACTTCCGAATCTCGATGGCTCGAAGTTCCTTCGAGTTCCACCGAGGTCGTTCAAAAGATCTGTAAAACATTGTAACTTAAACGCGTATCGATTCGGCGTTTACTTGAAGGAAGTTCGACGCCAGGACAGGCAACGTCGATTAAGCAACACTTTCTAATCGATTATTCGTATTTTTTTTATTCCTATGATGTATAGAATTTCTTCAAGGATGCCTGGAACATATTCGACTTCATCACGGTGATAGGGAGCATCGTGGACGCCCTCGTAATCGAGTTCGGGGTACGTAGAGCTTCGAAAAAGAAAGAAACAAGCTATGTCGTGAAGTTGGTATCCGCAGTCTTAAACGCTAAGAGTGACAGTACGTAGTGTTAATTTTGAACAGAGGAGAAAGTAGAGTGTCCAGACGTTTACTTCTTCGTAAACGAGATAAAAACCCGACTTCGGCTCCATTTTATTAAATGTGTCTATAACCCAGATGTGTCCGCTTGATTGTACCTACATCTATACCGAGTGTTTACATTTCCTTCTAACCCTTTTGCTGCTTATTTTAGTATATCAGCAGTGTACAGATACATATATATATATATATTAATATTAACGCTAGAACAGGTAATAATCGAGAATTTTTTATTCGATGCCCCTCGTATGTATTTGCATAGCTTTATGCTGCATTCATACGCTAACACACTCACACACTGTACATTATTCCACATCTGCACAAGTACGCGGTAATCACCACGGTCAGTAATCACACGATTATACAATGAAAATCTTTTAAAGGGAACCGGACGTCGGTTTTAAACGATCGTTCGAAAAAGATGATCGGAAGAAAAAGGTACGTGACAACACGGAAGGTTCCTTTTTGAAGTTTCGATGCATAGTAAACGCGACATACTTGGAACAAGATAAATACAGCACCCACGTATTCGCCAAGTATTTACGTACTCCTTTGCAGTAGAAGCGTATTTTATGAAGAACCCGAAGCACGGTCGTGCTATTACATTTACGCATATACTATAATTATTATTATTATTATTATTATTATTATTATTATTATTATTATTATTATTATTATTATTATTGTCAAGTAAAAGCGTGAAATAGTTGAGCAGTCGATATCGAGTGTCGAGACCGATCGAATTGAGATTTTCCCTTAAATGCTTGCTAAGTATTTCCTTCAGTAGGTTTGTTGAATCGACAGAGGTGAAACATTTTTTATATTTTTCGTTGGCTAAATTTTACTTTTTAGAGACTGTCAAGGTAAGCCAAGCTTCGCGTGAAGTAAAGTTACGTTGATACTCACTTCGAGTTCAAGTCGTGACTAGACGCAGACGTAAGCTTCATTTTATATGTAAATTTCCGCTATATATATATTTGTTTTCTCTACATAGTGTATTCGCATATTAAAGAGATCAGATCAGTGTAAGAGAAACTAACGAAATCGATCAAAATAATTTTGCAATCTCGTATATTTTTGTACCCTAGGAGCGGCTTTCGGGTATGCCCAGTGGAGGCCAACTAGGCGAAAAGAAGGTATAAATTTCGACGCATTTACTCCTACAGTCGTATGTAAGTTCTCGGTTATCTTCCTTCGAAAAAAGAAACAACAAACTCTTCAAGTAAAATTTTACTGCGTGAAGTCGAATAACATACAAACTCCATCGAGAAACGATATATCAGCGATCGCAGGTGCCTGTTTTTTATACTAAAGCGAATCTCTTCACACGCAAACGCAACGAAACATTCCTTATTCTATACCTGTTACAATTATATTTATACTGCACCGACAGGACGTATACTCGCTTCGCGTACACAAAGCAGCCGCACACTTAGAACAATAGAATGGCATATGAATGCGCGCGATCAAAATTTCCTGATTTGCTTCCGCAAATGCGCTGTCAGCTTGACTGCAGCAAATGGGTTAACGAACCACCTACTTCTATATTATCTACCACGTTTCCATCTATCCGAAAGAAACGTGTTTCGAATCCCTGTACAAATGACTCGAGAATAATAACCGAAAGAGTACGCGAGATTTTGCGGTCAAACGTATTACGCGAACGTAACGGGAGGAATATCGAGGCAAGGGTAAAGGGTACTAAGAATCCCTTCCAGTTTTTTCCATGTAGCTTCGTTCGTGTACCGAGACGGTGTCATCGAAAGAATGTAGACCAATTTGAAGACATCGTAACGCTACACGTAACGAAGCAATGGCCGGTACCACGACGAATGGTCGACATTTTTCGGGGCTTAAGTGTAATTTCCTTTGTCCACTACAGGAGAACTTCATCAACGTCGGTTTCCTAAGGCTGTTTCGAGCGGCCAGGCTGATCAAACTGCTCAGGCAGGGCTACACGATACGAATTTTGCTGTGGACCTTTGTACAATCCTTCAAAGTGAGTCGACGATGTAACGGACTCGACGGAAGTCGGAGTATACGGGATAATCTGTGTTTTATGATTACAGGCTCTGCCTTACGTTTGTCTCCTTATAGCGATGCTATTTTTCATCTACGCGATCATCGGTATGCAGGTACGCATCGATCTCTTAGAAACGTTAATGAGAACATTTACGTTCTGTGGATAGCGCGCGATAAAAGGACTATGTTCTCGCCCCGATATCAACGATCAGATTCAGAGCATCAAATTTCTAAACTAAAAAAGTATCAAACATTTATGAACTGCTTAAAAATTGAAATGGGGAGCCTGGGGTCGGATAAAGGATAACGCAATCGAGACTCATTAGTGATCATAAAATTCCGTTGTCAGGTCTTTGGAAATATAACGAACGATCCAGGAACAGCTATCGATGAACACAACAACTTTCAGTCCTTCTTCGCCGGTCTTATGTTGCTATTTCGGTGAGTCGAGCAGCTAAACGAAGCAGTATTATGGAAAGTTGGGCTAAAAGTAAACTTTTCCTCGACGAAAGAGCTACCGATCCAACTTTGCTTCGATTCCATATGCGAATTCAGTAGAACGATGCTTAATCGCAAAACGAGATAGAAATCAGATTCGAAATCGATTTGCTAAAGAAAAAAAAAAACGATCGGTAGCCAAAAGTAATCGTAACAGTAGAGAGTACTGGGCTGTGTTGGCATGAAGTTTAACCGAAACTGAGCTGCTCGACGTGTCAATCTCTTGTAATTGAACTCCCGCAATTAGAGAGTAAAACCCCTCCCCTAGACAGTTGTGCCATAGAGATGCTTGCACTAGATTTGTTCAACTTGGACATATGCCCCGAGAGAGAATCTGCGGAATTCGCGTATTTCGATACGATTACTATTACCAGCCAACGGAGTATAATTTCGCATACCGATCCTAGTACGACGTCCATGGATTTCGTTCGTTTCTCTAACGAACGTACAAACGAAATTCTCGATTCTCTCTCGAGCGAGTCATAACGAGATAATAAAGGAGTAAACGAGGTAGTAGATGGTAATTAATGTGGTGGATTGGTAGAGGCGTATTGCTAGAGGTTAGATTAACACTTATCACCACGTACACTGTTTACTCGTTAAACTAAAACTCTACGTAGCGCGACTCGCGACGACGTAACGCGATCATCAGCGATCGATCGACGGGTCCAGCGGACAAGAGTAACGTAAAATCGAGTCAGGGTCGCGAGATCGATCGAAGTTAGTGTGAAATAGCGGAGTTAGGAAGGAAAAAATAATCGCTAATGCCTCGCTCGCCTTTTGGCCGGGCGGCCGTTTTTCTTTTTGCCGGTCTCAGGTGTTCGGTAACATCGCGCTGGACGCCGAGACTTCTATTACCAAGCACAACAATTTCCAAAGCTTCCTTCAAGGTCTGATGTTGCTTTTTCGGTAAGTAAGACACTGATGCAACCAAACGCGAAAAATAAATGCTATTTTTTTTTTCTATTTTTTTCTTTCACTTCGATATTCAATCGGTTTGCGAAAAAAAAAATAAGCACCGCGCTGAATAAAGTGATATGTACACGCGCAATTTGACATCAGAGGGACTTAATTCTCGACGGACTTGTCATATATCGGAGAGTAAGAATAAACAAGGTGTATGAGGTGGTGACGATTTTCTAATCTCGGTAACACACTACATGAAACGGGCCAAGCTACGCCCTGTTCGCGTGCGGTTTGAAAACCGGACACAAGTATGGTAGAGTAATCGAGTAGAGAATTGAGTTACCGAACCAAGCCAGTATTCGCTTTTGGTGTTTTTGCATTTATTCATTAACGCGTGTAAAGAAACAGAGTTGCTTGCATGCCGTTGGGAGAAATAATTCTAACTCGTAGTTTAGGCTTAGACGGATTGTTTAAGCGATTCTCCATAAGCATTTTTCTTGAATTTTGTTCGTTCCGAAAGGTTCGCTTAGAAAGGTCTGCCTATCGACGCGTCTTACGAAAATTAGTAGAAGCAGTTTTATTCGAATCGAAATTCTCGAGAGATATATTTATGCAGGTTTTCGTAAGACTCGTCGGCGCAGATCTTAGCTTCCAAATATTTATACCGTAGTTTCACGTAGAAATGTGTTAATAAGAACGACGGGCAAACTCGTTCACGACGTTAAATAAAACGTATCGATAGGTGCGCGACCGGTGAGGCATGGCCGAACATCATGTTATCCTGTGTGAAGGATCGTCCCTGTGACCCGAAGGCTAGCAAACAACAGGGTGGCTGCGGGTCGAACATCGCGTACGCTTACTTCGTCTCGTTCATCTTCTTCTGTTCGTTTTTGATGTTGAATCTGTTCGTCGCCGTCATCATGGACAATTTCGACTACTTGACGAGGGACTCGTCGATCTTGGGCGCCCACCACTTGGACGAGTTCGTTAGAATCTGGTCCGAGTACGATCCGAACGCTACCGGGAAAATCCATTACAAGGAGATGTACGACATGCTGAAGAACATGGATCCGCCGTTGGGGTTTGGTAACAAGTGTCCGAATCGGCTCGCTTACAAGAAACTTATCAGGATGAACATGCCCGTGGACGAGAACCTGAAGGTGAACTTCACGACTACCCTGTTCGCCCTGATTCGCGAGAATCTTAATATCAAAGTCCGAAGCGGTGAGTCGCGTTTCTCTTTCCGATATTTTTCATTCGTTTTCCGTAAAAGTGAATCGTTGCAACGCGGATTCGATCATGATTGTTTACAGCCAACGAGAGGCACCAAGCGAACGAGGAGCTGAGGGATACTATCAGAAGCATTTGGCCCCTGCAGGCGAGAAAGATATTGGACCTTTTGATACCTAGGAACGAAGGTAAAGGACCGTTTAAAAAATCTGTTGAAAGAGATTTCTCTCACGAGTGATCGACGCTTTTCTTTCAGAATTGGGCAGAGGTAAGATGACCGTTGGTAAGATATACGTCTGCCTTCTGATACTCGAAAGTTGGAGGTCGACCAAGTTCGGTCAGATAGAACCGTCAGGACAGGTGAGTTCACCAACATTCTCAATCCGAGTGTAGCCACTCGTATCAAACTGAACTATCTCATTAGCGATATTTTCTTATTCGGGCAGTAAATCTTCTTTCCACGATTCGTTCGTCGTACTTCCGTTATCCGATTGGCGTACGCCACAAAAATCGCGAGGCTACGAGTTTTACGCGCGCGTTCCACGATTTTCCATTAACAGTCGAATCGATCGGACGAAAGGATCGTGGGAATCGATGCGAGAATTAAATTTCGTATGGATGTTTTGTCGTTGGCTTCTTCGTGGTAGGAGTTTCACGTGGCCGGTGTGGGAATCACGTTTCGAATAGAGAGTTTTCCACGAACGACTCCAAGTAGCTTATTGAACACCCATGAAAGCTTAGTATCGCATCAATTTTTTTTCACCCGGGACGAGAACAACTATTTACAATTAGTCTCGTCGCGATCGATGTTCGTCCGGTAAATTTTCACGTAGCCGCGATTCTAAGCTTCGTTCCTGTGCCCCACACGTTCTGATGCTATTATATATATACATATATATATTTACTGTGTGCTCGGTAGTAGTGCCAAGAATTTTCAAACGTTCATACGTATCTCGTATAAAGAAAATTCGAGAGTTTTAGCCGGCCTTTCTTTATCCCAGCGCGCTCGATTTTCAGTTAACAGTGACGAAACGAAACTTTGAATGAATGAAACCTACGAACGTACAGAAATCAGAGCGATCGAGCAGAGTCTCGCTGGGCTGACGAATCGGCACACTTATTTAGTTAAACTGTTACGGACAAGGAAGCCGTTCTCGATATTACATCTCTGTCTGTTGAATTGAAGTTTAGCCGAGTCGATATTATGTGTAGAAGCAGTTATCGATGTCACCCCTCCTGAACGTCACGATTCGGATTTAATGCAACCAATTTAACGTAGATTCAGTCCCAAGTCGATACATCGATCGCTACTCGTCGATTATTCGAACGTACCTAAACTAGAATCGAATAAACGAGTAAATCTCGGCACTGAATTCCTTTTTCGTTTGCACAATGCAAACACGTGTTCGACTAAAAAGTTTAGCGCGCGATGTATCGACGTCGATACGGACTACGTATAGAAAATTAGGACGATATCATTTTTGAATGAGTTACGATTAGAGTATTAGAAAAGAGTCTATATGTGTTGGATTTATTATATTGTGTGTCCACTAATTAAAAGAGTCATAGAAAGAGAGTACGACAACGAGGTTCGATCCTTCGAATTATCGATGGACTAGAGTTACGTTGTTATTATTATCGTTGTTATTATATTTATTATCGTTGTTATTATTCTCCTTATTATTATTATGATTATCGTTATTACCGTGAGATTAGAGTAGGAGTAAAGAAAAACTGAAATTTGCGACCACGCGAATTACGATATTATACTTAGTCTACTAATTGTTATACCCAGAAAAGAGGATGTTCACTTGCAGCTATCAATCATCTCCTTGTGTCTTTTCTCTTTGTTTTACAGAACGATAACGATCTTATCGATAACGATAATGCTGGGCAAAGTCCTGCAGCCCAGGCGGTAGTACTTACTTTTTCTCTTACTTATTATCATCTTGATACGGTCTTTTCCGTTTCATTATTTTCTTTGTACATTCACATCCGTTTCACCGACACGACCGTCGCGTACGTCCGCTGCAAAGTTAACCACTGATACAAATGGGTCGAGTGTCGACTGAAAGAAATCCGATTTACATTCGAACGAAGGACTATGCAGCGAGCGGTCCACGTTTTTTGTACATAACTAACATTCATTTTTGTATTTATTATCTATATCGCGCAGAGACACAGTAGCCTGTCGCGTGTACATACGCAAACCGTTAGCTTTCACCCGAGTTGGCTAAAGTTTCATGTAATAACTCCTTTCAATCGGGAATCGGCAGTTGTATCTCTGCTCCTTTTTTATCTGTACATTTTTTTCTCTGCATCGATACAGGCACACACCTACACTATTTTTCACATACGTTACACCGATATGTTTCCATTTGTATTGCGTTTCCTTTAATATTCTTTCCTCAACTTTTTTACTCACTGGAAATAAACGCAATGGCGATTGACGAGCATTCAACGACGGAATATAATCAGGTTAATTGACAATTTAATTAATCGATCGCGAATAGTAAGAGAAGTCGTCAGTGGCGATTGCGTCAAACACGAATCACATACACAGACACACTTGAACCTTTTACTTCATTCCTTTTAGGCACTTGATATTATCTTAGTAAAACTGTTTCACTAGAGCATCCGTCGAGATCACACTATTTACGATATAGAACTATTAGAAATCTTAGTCTTTCCTTTCGATTAAAAAAAATTTTCCTTTTCTCTTAACGGCACGTTACCTCTTCAAAATAATAACCAATTAGACTAGGATACTTATTTAAACTTAGTTGAAAATCGTTCAATTTTATGCACCGCGTCGAATTTCTTCTACTATCTTGTAAAAAGGCAAGCGCTTTGATTGACCGAAAAATGAGTGAGACGGTGCATAAAGTTGGAACGTTTTAAGTTTTCGTAGCGGTGGTGTCGATATCGCGTGGGGATCGTTCGCGCGCGTTCCCACGCGAGAAACGGCTCCTTTGCCTCCCTCGAAAATACGATACCAAATAGCTGTGTGTAAGTAAATCACTTACTTTTTTTTTTAGTCACCATCCGGTCCCCATAGAACGAATAAATTTGCCCGAGACGAAACCGAACACCGAAGAGAGTCGATTCTCGAACATAGCTCGCCTTTTGCCTCGAGTATCGCTCCGTTCAATTAGGAACATGCCAATCTTTTAGATCGACGGATAGATCTAGATAGATCTCTTAGATCGTTTAGATCCTTCATGCCCAAACGTATATTGATCTAGATTAGCGTCCGATAGGCGACGTTAGAGTTAGAAATTCGAAATTGATCCGATTTTCTTTTCTTATTCCTGTTACGAAATTTTGCTGCAACCGTTTGTCTTTGTTCATTTCACTGTTCTTTCTTTCCATTTCGTTTCTCTTCCTTTGAACGAAAGCTCTTGGTATGGAAGATAGTAGAAAACACGAGGGATATGCGGCGAACTCGATGCGCGTCTTTGAGAAGGCCCAAAGGCAGCGATTAGCCGCGCTTCCCTCGGCAGATAGATTTTCTTGCTCGATGTACTACCGTTTCCTTTCTGATTTTTTTCTTATACGTCTGTTACACTCTCCGAAGACTAGCAACGTAGAATAGAGAATTGTTAGTCTTAGAGAATCTACTACGTTGACTATGTTATACCGTAGACTCGTTGCCTTGTTAGTTCTCTTCCGATGGCTTTTACCTTCAGACACGACTCTTTTCTCGCAACAAACACGACACTATTGCATTTATGTTGACTCGTGACACGCAACAAGAACACGACACGATAAGTTTTTTCTAAAGGGAAACAAAAGAAAATTAGGTTCGACCACTTTTTGCAGAACGATGAATAATGCTGTGAACATCAAAATGCTATACCGTCGAACGAAAATGATTTGCCGAACGAAATTCCAAGAGTAGCAAATATTTGTTTTGAACCTTAGACAACCTTAGACGGGAGAAGACTTTCTCGAGAAAGTTTTCTTCGCCAAGTAAACTGTGTAATCGTAGAAGGAATAGTTTGACCGCGTTTAGAATTTAGACTGTCGCTATATAACGTATGAGAATATCGAAGGTAATTAAAACGTAGCCGAGTGTACCACATACACTACGTAGGCATGGCAGTAACAACGAGTAAAAACACCTGTGAACATTTTGTGCATACCTAAATACGATAACCGAATGAGATTAGCTCCCCCATTAGCTCTAGTATAGTTCCCCCTCACGTATGTTGGTTGCGATTGCTTTTGTATCGTGTTTGTCCACGAATTGTTCGCATATGTGTGATAATTCCTTTAAGAGAACGTTTATTTATTATGCGAATCGTCGATGTTCCTCGGTACCGAATGAAAGTGGTCGACAGTCGTCGGGACCAAGTCCGGCGTCGGATCGGCGGAATTCTATCGAGGAACAGGACCGGCGGTTCGTGCATCGTGTTGCATGCTTAACAACGTCTGCATTCCCACAGTAAACGCGACGAGTACGAATTTAAGTGTCTCTAATTTTGCATATTACCATTACGTATATTACTATTGGTATTTTACACGGGTAAACACTCGACAGAATAAATATGTATAATATGTATGTACTTATATACAACGTATTCGACATATATTTGTAAGAGTATAGCTTCTGACAAACATATACAGGCTTTGCCAGAGTGATCCACCCGTTTCTATACACGAATTTGCCGCTTGTACTTTATCGATATATTCGACATGTTTTTCTTCCATCTACTTTATGCACACACGCGTCTCCCGAGCTCCCTCGGGAGATCGTCTCAAATTTTACAAACGGAAATGTTTTTTCTCTTGCGAGACACTTTCGAGTGCACCATGATCACGATTACGTATATACGATACTATTTTTTAGCATGGCCTCTGTTTTTTCGAGAAATTCGTTTTCGCTGCTACGAATTCGTATTCTATTCCTAGTGATAAGTACTCTTTTCCTTCTAACTCGAACGCACGCACGCAAAAGAGAGAAGGTAAAAGAAGCGAAGCGAGGAGAACGAAACAAAAGCCTGTATGTGCCTGTACATACTGTACGATAAAAAAAAGTTCCTCGGGGGATGGAACGATCGTCTAACACCGACGATCCGTAGAAAAGATAAAACCCCGCAAATAAACATGTAAATATCGAATCAGCTCTGATCAGTCGATGTGGTTTCCGCGCGTTCGACTTTAGCAATCGTTCCTCAACTGCATACTGGACGTGACGCACGGAAATAATCACGGGGCCGGAAGTAGGGCGAACAGCCTCGAGCCGGTGGTCAGGCCGACGCCGGAAGCGAAGCTCGAACTGCACAAGGAGCACAGGGAGGAAGACGACGAGCACAGACGTCAACGTAGCATCAGGTATCTCCGCACTTTTTTCACTCGAATTCAGAAAAACACAACGATCCAACTCTATAATATCTTCGCTCTTGACATTCAAAATTCAAACTGCATCTCACTTCTTTCATTTTTTTCAACTTCCATTCTCCTCTTTCATCGTTAATTATCAATTGTTTCATTCCCTCGTTATTATTTTTATAGAATATTATTTCTTCTTTCTTTAAGTCTTCGTTTCATTTCTGAGATTATATTTTCTCTTCTATTAGTATATTAAGTCTTCTTACATTTCTTTCATTTCCCTATGTATATTCTAAAGGGCTGATGATCGTTAATTAAGTATAATCATTATAATTTTCGCGTCGAATCAGATAATTGTTCCTTCGTTTGGTTTCAGAAATAAAAAGGTGAACTGGAAGATGTCCCACCAGTACGATATACTAGGCAGCAGCGGAGAGAGTAGCCAGGGAGGGGGTGGGTCTGGGGTTGTACCCGTAGTTAATGACGAGGATCGCGCCCCTGAGCTAGAGCCATTGCTGGCTGAGGTGCCCTCCCACCAGGATCAAAACTACTACTACCACCACCACCATCACCATCACGACCAATACTACGATACCGACAATGATCTATACTATGACCACCACCACCATCATCATCACCACCACCACCACCACCACCATGCTCACCAAGCTTACCATCATCATCATCATCGTCATGCTCACCGACCACCCTCGTATTATCGACACCAGAATACCTACGCACCTCGCTCCTCGATCCGTTACCACAAGGTCTCTCGATTCAGTCGTTCGAATTCGATTCAGTTTTTCTATTACGCGACTTTTTTTTCACCCTCGATCGATCGCGATACAGATTCGTTCTTAGCTCGATTCTACATTTCTTCAACTCTTCAACTCTTCAACTGGGATCTCCATTACTTTTCTTTTCGAGCTTATTTATGAAGGATCGTATTAAAAAATGGGGTAGACGTTTGGGATGCTTTATCTTTACTCGTTAATGGTTATCTCGATTTCGTCTCGTCTGTATGCACGATCTGGATCGCGGTAGATCGAGGATACTTTGCTTTTTCGATCGGATCTTATAGAGTTCGACATTGTACATACGATAGTTCTAAATGTTTGACGATACGCTTCACATAGAGTTAGAACGATTACGGTTTGACGAAATATTTTACGCTCTAGACGCATTCAGCGCGGCATTAGTTTCGATGGAGACGATTAGATCGACCGACGAAAGCACCACATTAGTTTAGTAACAATACAAAACGACAAAGAAAGGGAGAAATTCCTGATAGACGGACTCACAAACACGCTCTTAGATCAAGATAGAATTTAGATCCATAGATCTTTAGTTGAACTCGCGTACGACTAACATCGCCACCGACCTCAAGATCGATTTAGCCCGACGTTGTCTATCGAATCATCATTTTCCCGAACGCGATCGAATCGATCTTGAACACCGCACCTACCTTGCCGTTAGCCATTTGTAAATATAACTACACACGATTAGAAGAGAACGCGTTTTTGATCTCTGTGTCGTTTGTATATTTCGGATATACGGAATATGTTTAGAGATAAATCGGACGCGGACACGATACATAATAGAGAACTTAGAGAAACCCCACCCTTGTCCCTAGCTGCTTTCAGCCTCGAGATTCGCTCTCGAGAGCGACGAGACAGTCGGCTGTGCGAATCGATGTTCGGCGACGACTGGCTCGTTCTCTGTGTGTGTCTCGTTGTTCGTTTTACAAATTCCATTGTGTGTCCGTGCCCTGGTAAGTAACGAAACACCTACGACGGCGAGCGACGAACTCGTCGTCGCGACGAGTAGCGGACATGCTCGTTTCTCTTTCTTCTCTCACCCGAACGTACCGCTATCCGAACTACGATCACTTACCTCAGCGAGCATGTGCATGCCTCGGAAACCTATTCGAATCTCGCATGTTAATTTTCTTATACGCGCGTTACATGTGCCTGTGTCTATATCGACTTCTCTGCTCCTCTTCACTGACTGTTCTTCTCGTATACTCTAAACCGGCCGTGCGTGTTCTCTCTACAAGAGAGAACGAACGACATATCGGCACGGTCTGCGACGAGCTTCCTCCCGCAAGTTTTCGAATCTCACTCCATAATCGAACTTTGATAGACCGAAATAGACGAATTCGTCTTTTTTTTTTGCTAAGAAAGAGTTCGATCTTTCTTCTCCAACGTACAAATTTATTTCTACCAGTCAGTCGCCCTTTAATTCGAAAACTTACTCGGGGAAACGAGCATTTCGGAGGCAAAAGGCGTCTCGCGTCGTGGAATGCGTTTGCGCGAGACGCGAACCGCTGTCATTAGTAACGGAGGCAAAGAATCGGCGACACCCCGACTCTCCTTTAAAAACTCCTGATTCGCTTGTATTTCCGTGGATCCAATGATCGCCCATAACCGACGAGTATGTTCGTTTAGATGGAGCTTCAGGAGGTCGTAGTTAGCGACTCGCGCGCCGGTAGCCTCGAGAGTCTCACGCATCCTGGTAAGAGGCTTCATCCAGCCGTGCAACCGGTCAGACACCCATCGCGTTCACCGAGTTTGAGGTAAGAAACAATGCGAACGAACGAGAGATTTGTCAGAACGGTACTTCGAACTAAACTCATGAGAATAGGATGAGCAAAAGATAAACGGGGATCAGAAATGGAGGGTGTCGATGATTTTGCAGGAGACACTCGCCGGATCTTCAATCGCCGAGACGACCTAGGTACGATCATCACGGTCATTATTACCACGATGGACCAGGGTTTAGCGACACGGTTAGCAACGTCGTCGAGATACAGAGACACACGCATCATCCCCATCCGTCACAGTACAATCATCGGCACAAAATGCGAGGTACAAGACAGCAATGATAATATCAGCGAAGAAAACACGGTGCAACGATAAGTCCTTTTTACGAAAATCAAACCTACGAATCTCTCTTTCGCCGAGACGCGAGATCATCGTATTCCGAAGCGAAGGGAAACCGATCTCGGGCGAACCGTTTCGCGTGTTTCCAATTTCGCAGCAACATCGCGTCGCCGCGTCGCCGTCTTAGCGAGAATGGTACGAGAGATTCGTAGTTACGATTTAGAAAGAAAACTATGAATGTCGCTACTAAGTGGTTTTTTACTCGCAAGAGGCAGAAAGCTCTGTGTCACTCGATGTAATGTGTTTCTTCGTTTTTGTTCTGTTACGCGCCTACAAAGACTATTACGACCACTGCGACTATTACGACGATGGTAATTTCTTTCGCAACTCCGTTTCACTCCCTTGTTCCGAAGCAAATGTTTTATTATCATCGTTACTATATTACCTTTCGAGTGCGATCATTTGGCTTTCACAGTTGTACATACCATATCCACGCTGCTACGTTAACAGACACAACAGATACAGATTAGTGGCTTTCCCTAATTTCTAGCGCGCAGTGAACGACATAGTGCTTAACGGACGTTCTCTTTCTCGTTGCTCAATGTGAGATTTATCGGGCGAGGATTCGTCGAGCCGAACCGAGTAAAACCGGCTTCTCCCCCTCGACTATTCTCATTAGGGAAATCGTCCCTAATCAAAACCGATTTTATACGCTTTGTTATTACTCTGCGGGACTTTTCTATAATTTACGCACAGGATTCTGCGCACGAAATAGACGATAACACACACGCTTTCGATATCGAGCACTCCACCACTCTTGGTGACACGCACTCTTCTCCGTCCTCTAGACTCTAGAAGGTAGAAGCTAGATCATTGATAGAAACCTAGAATTTATTAACTTCTGACGCGAAATAATAGTTTTCTAATAGCACCGCAGCAACGATTGCACGTCGACACTTGGAATCCCCTCGGATCGTCGATATTAGTTAGAGAAATGGCATGCGGCATGCTGATCGATACATATACGTAACCACCCCGCAGCACCCTCGTTCGATCTTTCATCGACCCGATTATTACCTATTAGACTTAGACGATAACTGATGACTCGGACTCTTAGTTAAAGTTCCGTTACTCTGAAACAATTCGGTACCAACCCTTTGCGTAGACATCGTACGGAAATCCCTTTATATCAGATACAGTGGTGCCCGTTTAAAGATCGTGGCTCGGGCGATTGATCGTATCAGCATCCGATTAGATACAATCCTATTCGACAAAAAAATAATCGTCGGATGTATATTCGATCGATGAACTGCCTCGAATGATCGATGAACAGTCTCGTAGCGTCGAAAAACGATAGAACGACAGATGTCGAAGATACGCTTACGAAGCGAGCACCACCGTAACATCCCCGAAGAGCTAGAAACTAGCCGTCGTCGTGTCGATAAACGAAACGAAACGGAATTGAACGCGAACGCTAACGAGTACGTTCGTCAGGTCCGTGGAGCGCTTCGACCAGTCCAGCGCGGACACCGAGTCCGATTCACCACATCGATCATCGCGGTCGGCATTACGGGACGACCAGACTGGAGCAAAGATCGCGGAGTCCCAGCCCGATCGGCGGCCGAACGCCGGCGCACCCGCATCACTATCATCGGCATCATCCCCATCAGCACAGCTACCCGGTGTTGGTAACGAGACGCGGACAGGGTCGACGGTTGCCGCCGACGCCGAACAAGCCGTCGACCCTGCAACTCAAGCCGGCGAACATCAACTTTCCGAAGTTGAACGCGTCGCCGACTCACGGGCCTCACATGCCCGCAGCCGCCCACGTGCCCGCGATTCCAACGGGGATGCAGCATCCCGCGCCACTGCCGGGGCACGTTCCACCACCGATGCAGCCCAGTCACTGTCCCCTCAGTTTCGAGCAGGCCGTGGCCATGGGTCGCGGAGGTCGCCTTCTGCCCAGTCCTGTACCCAACGGGTACAAGCCGCAGCCCCAGGCTAAGCAGAGAACACCCAGGTAATCCTATAAGTTCCTTCGTTACTTCTCGATCGCAAGACGTGAGACGTATACGTTGAAACGATATTTGCAGGTCCAGACACTCCGACAGCGACGAAGACGACTGGTGCTAGCCAAAGTGGGACCCTGGACGGTGGTCCGGTGACGTGGACGCCCCCAGGCGTCTTAGGGTTTGCGCGTGAATCTTCCACGACGACGGGAGGGGCGCATTGATCTAGCGTCGGAGATTGATCGAACGTTCCACGAGTATGCGGTAAAAACGGATAAAGACTGCCGATTAAGCGTAGTACGCGAGAAGATGTGCGAGGATCGGGAGAAAATAGATGGAGGCGATTCGTACATCTCGTGGAACGAACGAACAGCGGTCAGCCGATTCGAGAGAGAAGGAATTCGATCGAACGGATCGACGCGACGCGGAAACTGGAAACGGAAGAGGCAATGGATTTCAAAGAAATTGTGCGACTGAAACGAAAGCAACATCGGATGATCGTTACAGGGACAACAAAACCAACGTACGTACTTACGTATTTAACGGGCAATCGTCGGGGTGGACGTTTCATCGAACAAAGTGTGCAATGCCACCGGACGACGCGCGACGATCGTCGGTTGAAACGCGTGAAACGAAAGCGAGGACTCGCTTTCGAACGAGGAGCAACGGCAAATCTCTGCCGATCGCGCAGTGATTCGTCGTAACGAAAAAGAAAACAGAAAAAAAAATAACAAAAAAAAGTCCCAGTGTCGGAGGCGCATACGATTTACGAGTCGGTGCGTTCGCCGTAAACACCGTTTCGGAACTTTATCTATTTTCAACGAAAAACTTTCTTTCATCTCAAACTTTGAAGCTTTTCTTGCTGTGCTTTTTAATCGACGGATCGAGCCGAGGAGGATCCAACTTTTGTACGACTCGTTATAATGCGATACGATTGCACCACGGGAGGGAGACGGTATCGAGGCTGTTCCAACTTTATTGAGAACCGTCACCGATTCTCTTCTCGAATTTCTCTGCGATCTAACGCCGCAACACTCGAGCAATCGAGGATTTAGGGCGCGCACGTTTTCCGTTCGCGTTATGTCCCACGAAAATTCTATCTCTCATCGCAGCTGCAATCAACTTGACGAACGAGTGGACGGTCTCCCGGTCGAAATCTCTTCTAGATCCGTTGAACAGAACGAGAGGAAACGCGGCAAAGACCGTGGCTACGGACACCAGCTTTTCGTACATTCGCCGATAGGTAGTCACGGTGTCGCTAGCACCGTTTCCTTTCGTTCGTCTCTCGCGGAACTCGAAGGCCAGATTTCGCGGTTGAAAACGCGTTCGCCTCTCAAAGTGTATCTAGCGTAAAACGGATGAGAAATCGTTCAAGTGTAATCGACTCGCTCCTCGAATTAAATGGAAGCTCATTAAAAAAGAAGTGTACTCGAGGATGCAAAACGTGTCGTACATCTTACATCGAACTAAATACGTAGGAATTTTTATTAAAGAGTCTATTCGAAACGATTCGCGTGAATATTATAGAACGCTTATTCGCGAACCAATCTGCTCGCGGGTAAAAAGAGGACGTTGGATTCGCGATGCCGTTGTAACGTGGACTTTCACAATGTCGCAGCTGGTGCCAATGATAAAGTATAATAGAAGCGTTTCGTGATAAATGATTGAGAAATGAACCGAGGAAAATGAGGTCGAGTTAGTCTAAAGAGTAACGAACAAATTAAACACGAGAGGGAGGAAAAGAGGGAGAGAACAAACACTTCCACTATTATTACCGTTTCGCTGTAACCATGACTACTACTGTTACTTACCGATACTATCGCTATTATCGCTATTACTATTGCTAACGATTTATTACCACTACTTAATAACGCCGTCGATACTACTCTACTACTACACTGTTATACTACTACGTACTCTGCTACTGCTACTATCGTTAATGGAATACTAGCCACGCATTATCGTCTAACGATCTTATTAATTTTTTCTCGTTTTCGGCCACCGTTTCCCTTCGCTAAACGCCTAAATCGGAAATCTTTTATTTCGATCTCTCTCCTTTTCAAGTCTTTGCCAAATAGTTTTTAACTCGTCACTGATATCGGTTCGATTACAACCTCGTCTCTCTTTAACGTTTTTCTAACGTTCCCATCGTATACTTCCGAATAGAATACGTATCGTGAAAAATTCGCATCCGATAGTATTAAGCAACGTAACTGACCTAGTTAATCCTACTTGAACCCTTTCAAAACTTACTTTTCATTTCTCCTCGGATTTCTTAAATCTATCGCTTACCTCTTTCAGACTTATTATTTTCCAACGATTATCCACGGCAAACGATCTGTAACATTAGATAATTTATATTATACATATTTATAATATAAATTGGTTGATCCGTATTATAATATACGTTATAATATATATCGGAATATATATTATATTATATTATAATATTCGATGTATCGTAACCGAAAACTCGACACCTTCCACCGCTGCTACGTATTACTGCTGTCGCTATACTGTTACTACTATTACTGTTGCTAAATACTACTATTACCTACCGCTGCTGCTGCTACTACTAACTACGATTACTATTACTATTACCAATAATTACTACTTTTACTAACGCTACGATTACCAAAACGTTTTACTAAAACAAAATTACGCTAGCGTAAAGGAAGATCGTAACACAGTCTAGTTGCAGCTCGTCACTCGTCGGATTAAAAATTGGGAAAACACGTGGATCGATCGGTGGACGATCTCGCGTACCTACGCGACGACACGGGGGGTAGCACGCGACAAATTCATCGGGAGATACTTAAGTAACAAAACAGGACGGACGTTATTTCGAATTCTACCGTTGGCTCAACGTAAATTAACGCAGAAGTAGCCGTAACGTGCACATACTTAAAAAGCAACAAAAATACTAAAAAGCGTGGGTAAATGCGCGCGTGTAACCGAATCGGAGTTATCTAATCATAGAAACGTGTGGAGAGATTATAAACAAAGTATCCGATTAACATACTGCCAATCGTACGAGGTGTTTCAAACGGGAAACACACACGCGAAATAATATAAATTTTAATACGAGTGTACATAAAGTAAAACGACGCATCTTTTTTCGCGGCACGTATATTCACAAAACACCTGTACGCGTACGTAGATAGATTTAAACGAATTCGTCGACGAGGGAAGACGAGAACGAGAGAGCGATCGTTAACGAAACGGTAAAATCATCCTTCGATACACTATCACCCTCGCGCTTGCCTGACTAATTTGCCGAGTGCGTGTACCTTGACTGAACTGTGCGCAATACGTGACTCTCATCGTCGTCGGTCGAAAAGTTTTCCTACATCGCTCGTGCGTCCACTCACTTTTATTCCGCATGCTACGCGGTATGATTAAACAAAAATGTTAATACCGTTTGTACATAAATATTTGTCTAATTTCTATGCTTACTTCCCGAGCGTTCGTTTCGATCATCCTGCGATACGATGCCGTGTTAAAAGGCTGGGGGTATGAAATAATGTATGGAAACTTTTCTGACGGACCGTAGGAAAACCTATCCCATTCATTAATTTAAGGATTTACCATGGAGGAGACGGGAATAGAGAATTCTAAATAAGAAAATATAGTCGATAGCGCGCGGATTGCTTTTAGCGTTTCATTAACGTTTCCCGGTTACGTTAGATTTAAGAGAAATTAGTAAAATTGTTTCGAAGGATACCGAATTTCATTAGTCTTTTAAAAAGAAGACAATTTTTTACGTTTTGTACTTTAGTCTACATTCTCTGAGACATATCAGTCGTTTTATTTGTTTTTACATTGAGTTACGTTTTATATTTTTATTTTCCTACGCATTTTTTAATGCTTTCCGTTTTATTTGTTTGTACTTTTTTAACGTTTTAGTTTCGAGCCCGGAACTTGTTTTATTTCTCGTACTTAACAATGAAAGGGACACCCGAGTAGGTACGTACCGGGATGGGGTATTACTTATTAAAACTGTTTTTCTGTGATAAACCCAAATAAGTGTCATTCATCCGGCGATAGACGATTTCTGTGCGGCCCCCGACCGAAGAAAGGCGAGTAGACGAGAATAGGCACGAGAAGAGATTGACTGCCAAGGGTAGTATAAGACGCGAGAAAAAGGTAGATTAACTCGAATCGTGTGTATGCGAATGTACGTGTGCGGGCGAGTGTCTGGGAATGTTGAAATCTCGGAGATCGCTATAGCGTAGAAAAGACAAGCATCACGACCAAGCTCTAAAGACGACTAATAAAATACACCATAAATACGTATACATAATAGATGTAGTCGAAAGAAGAGCATATAAATATAGCCCTAAGTATAAAAGGTAAATTATAGACAACTATATACGATTTTCACTCGAAACGCATTAACGCGGCTACATTGCAAACTAAAACTGAGGAACGACATTAAGAAAACGATAATAAAACATAGTAATAACGATAACGCTGATAATATTTGACGACGGTACGCGATCCGAACAACTTCGATTCCTTTCTCTCGTACGTACGAATTAAGAACGCTGCGAGGAGAGATAATTTACTAGGCGAATGGGCGAGCGAACAAAGATGCCATAATAGAATCGTTCGAGCACTCGAGGAAAAGCTGAAGATGGAAGCAGACAAGGGTATTCGCTTGTAACAGAACAGCGAGCACACTTCGATGTGAATAGTTTTCGTATTATAATAGCATTTGTTTATAACATTTACCTGAATGCGAAATTACAAGCGAACGGTTCTAGTCTGTGTCCACCTCGCGGGAACGGCTAAGTTCCAACGGTTCGCGGAAGGACCGAGTATACATACTTGTAAATAGATTCAGTACCGCTAACAGGTCGAAGTAGACGTTAAAGATCGCTCAGATTATTCAATTTTTCCAATTTACTATATCTTTCTATTTGCAATTTCACGTGGTTCACCTTACGCGTAGTTTCAGCCTTCTGATCGGAGGGTGGTGACAAAGAGAGGGTAATATCTTAGAAAACGTTAGAAGTTGAAACCTATCGCAAAACGTTCGCTATTTAATAGATAATCTAGTCGTCGGAATCATTAAATTCGTACCGTAAACGAAGCGAATCCGTATATTTACGATCCCGGCAAAAGTAAGGACCGGCGCGAACGTTCGTTTCCGCGAACCGTCAGGGTGAACGTCGATGCCGGTGTCAATGAATAATCGGTCTCCCTCCGTGGTAGCAATCGTACATCTTCGTTCGAGAAACAAAACGCTCTTGTTTCTTCGCGGAAAGGAAGAATAATTCAAGAGAATGGGCGAAACGAAGAGAATGGACAAACGAGGAGGAGAAAAGGGCGCACCGGATGGCAAAAAAGGAGGACAAGCTCTCGATCAGGTCTAAGGTGCCGCGAGAAAGGGAAGAGAGGAGGAGGCGCTTCTCGGCTCGTTCGTAGAAAGTACGTAATTACGATTAAACGAAATTACAGAACGAACGCATGAGGAAAATTCGCGAGAGGACCGTATACACGCACGTATGTATAAATAAATTTCCATCGGTTCTAGACAGTCAGAGACATTGAAAAATCATTTAGTCGATCGTTGAAAAAATAAAATAAAACAAAGTGGATGCCATGAGTGTATTACGTTTAAGAGTTTTTCTACTTATCTATACGTATATACATAAATAAGGATGACATACATATATATATATAAATATGTTCACGTAAGGAAGCTGCGCGTACGTGCATTTTATATCTATGTATTTGCGTCTGAATACATGCATATAAATATATGTGTACGTGTGCATATACGATATATGTGGTTACGAACAAATAACGAAATCGACGCGGCGCTAATCACGCTAAATGCTCTCGATAATAAAAATGCAATCGCGAAGAGGGAAGGAGTAACGAGTAGAAGAAAAACAATTAAAAAAAAAATGTTCGTCGCTAGCGCCTCTTCGGCTGTTGGACGAGCCGACGAGCTCCGTAGAGTTTCATACTTTTGCAAATAATAATCGAAATCTCGTGGGATAAAACACTATTAAATACACCGATCTCTATATATAAATACGTATAAATAAGACACGTACGTTATAGAAGCGAGAAAGATTCGTCTCGATCCATTGCAAGTGTACAAGCATCCGTGTCTTAATTTGGTGAGGGTCGAGTGCGCGCGGTCGCTGCTCGAACGATCGGATCGATGCCGATTACCATCCATCGAATATCGCGATTCATCGTACGCGATCGCCAGCGTAACTTACACTTAGAGCGAGGGATGTGCGTGGCGCGAGTTTCAATCCTCTCTATTAAATTCATTTCTATTTTCGTGCATCGATTTCGCGCTCTGAACCAAATCCGCGCACCACCGTGGCGAGTTTATCCACTGGGTTCGAGCGACGGACGACGATCGGAGATCTCGGGATCGGCGTCAAATCAAATACCGAAGTCACGATAACGGAATAACGATCAAACGCACAGGAATTAGCTTCAGAATTACATTACTCGATAGACGAATGTCGAAACAGAATACGAAGATGTTAACAGCGTTTCCACTTGCACCACTCTTATCGGTCTCGTAAAAAATGTCTCCGATTTCGTCGGATCGTCGGACGTTGCCCGACTGGATCGTTTCGCGTCGGAAATTAAAAACGAAACTAAATACTATGTACAGAAGATGCGTAAATGTATTTTCGACAGTGCGGGAGCTGTGCGTAGTTCGCGCGAGATCGGCGGAGATTCGGTTCCCGTGAAAACGCGTGGAAACGCGAGTCGCGAAGGGAAAAACAGAGAACGCCTGGGAAGAAACATTAAATAGTAACAAGAGTTGCCTTAATATTATCCCTATAGGATTCGCGTGCGGACGGTGAAAAGAGAGGATAAAAAACGTTGAAACGATAAATCAAACGATCGCGTCGTCGCGAGATAATTCGGGTCAGTCGCAGGCGAAGTTTTCCTCCCTCTTCGAAGAGATTCGTCCTCTCAGTTTACTCGGGATAAATCTTGATCGGTAAACGCGATCTCGCGACCGGTTTAACTCGCGAGCAGGAAGAAAGCTAATCTCGTACGCTACTGTTCACGGACGCGATGCGATTCGCGAAGTCACACGCATCGTTCTTCTCGAGCATCCTTCTTTAGCTCGTCCATCCTTTCGCGTTTGCGTCGCGTCGTTCGCTATCATCCTTCGTCGGGCCATCTTCATTCACTTAGGTACTTACACACATGCGCTCGCGTGGTTAGGGAACAATAGCGTATCGACTTCGTGTTGGACGCGTGTTAGAAAATCAAAAATCGTGTGCGATGGAGCGAGAAGAAGAAAGATACGAGGACGAACCGTGGAGAACGTAGATGCGGAGAACGAGAAAGCGAGAATGGCTGGACCGACTGTGTATCACGCGGTGCTTCGCGCGCGAGAAAATCTGTGTGAACGGTGCGTAGTCGAAAGAAAGCGAAATCTATAATAATCTATATTCTACGATAGCGCGAATGACCGACGGCGTAACAATCCCAAGAATCGAAAGTACGGGAACGCATGAGTGCTTGCGAGATTGCGAATTCCAAGTGAAACAGGGAAAAATCGTGCGAATGTGAAGATCGAAAGGAAAATTGAGTAAATCGAAAATCTGTAAACGTCTGATAGTCGCGTGTTACATTGCATTGTTAAAGGAAGAATCCTGTAAAGAGGGCAAGAAAAACGAAAGAAGAAATACATTGAAAGCTTTAACTCTGATTAAACTAACTTTTAAAAAGAGGTATAGACATAATATAACGCAGTGGGTGCTGCTGCCAGTTTTGTGTGAATGGCGGACGGTTGGCGGTCGATTCTGCGCGAAGCCAATACCGACATCTCCGAAAAGCGTTCATTACGAGCGCGTATATACAGACAAATATAATACTATATACATATACAAGCATATATTTGCCTCGATATGTACTATAATACGTTCGTGTTTGACGAGCGTCGACGAAGCGTTCAATTCTTTCTTTCAAATATTGTATACACACGTGTTGTTAACAATCTCATCCTCGTCGGTGTCTCTCGTTCGCGCAATGTCTCGCCAATCTCCGCGTTAATTGTAAACTTACTGTATATTACTTATACATATATACATATTATATATATATATATAAATATACGTATATATAGATGTATGCATAATGTGAAAATGAACAATATGGAACACTTGGTTTTTTGTCTCGGTGAAAGCAGGTCCGATTGTACCTTTATACGTATTTCATTGTCGCGCGTTAGAGTTCGCGTCACGTTCCGAAGCGATTCTCGTCACACGCGAATCAGAAAACTTGCCAAACGCAAAAGTGTGTATTTTTTTCAATCGATCGAATGGGATCCGTGTTCGCGGACTAAGCGCGGATCTTTGACGAACGTAATTCGATGTATTTCTTATGAAAAAGCGGTGCGTTTAACGATTTGACAAACGCGATTCTACTCGTTCGTCGACGAACGAAAGAGGAGAGGAAGACGCTTCGGCTCCGCGGCGCGAACGAGATCGTATCGTTTTTCTTCTTTGACAAAACATTCTACGCGTGCGAACGCTCCTGCCAGTGAGGAAGTATTGTGTGCGATATAAAGACGTTATCGAGATAACGAAAAACGATGTAAACATGATTATTCTTTGAATCTACGATATTATAAATATAAAACCAACGTTCGGTGTGGCGTCGAGCGCGAATGAGCGAGCGAATGGTGAGAGAATCGAGCAAACGAGAACAAAACCATGCATCATTACTTACGTATTATGCAGTAAAACGAGAGGCGATACTCTTACCTTATATATATAAATATTATATATATATATACATATATACATATACATAGTTAGTTCAATTTGCAAATTAGTGTGTATCGTCGCTTCGAAAAAATGCCCAGTCATTATTCGCCAGAATCCAAAAACAAACCCAACAACCAATTTCAAGTTCATTCTTTTTTTAAGGAAGAAACGAATAAAATAATGTGTTAAAATATTTGCTGACGCACCTGTTCCTCCTTCACTCATGAGTAAACTTAAGGTTTCACTATTTTCACAATTCTAATTGAAAATGAAACTCGCCATTGGAACTAGTCGCAAACTGCTTTCATAATGGCGCAGAAGTTCTTCAGCTGCCTCTACGATAATTCTCAACAGATGGCTCCACCAAATCCTTAACAAACTCCTTTTTTTATGCAAGGGAGTACCGACTGCGTCTAACGAAGGAGTAGGTAACTATTTTTTTATATATTTCTACTCGATTTGAGATACGATCTGAAAGTATAGGAACGGGAATGGCGTCGGTGCGAATAACGTGAAACATCTGTATAAAATCGAACCGATATTATTTTTGAGCGTTTTTATTAAGTTTACCATGATTTTTAATCGATACAATGATTTCTGTGGTATACTGTTGTACGCATCGAGACGCTACTTCAACTTCCTTTCCAGTTTGCAAAAAGAAAAATCGTTTCGAATACTCCGTCATTTTTCCCGTATTCAAGATAGAAATAAGAAGATTTCCGAATAGAATCAACAAAGCGTTACGCTACTTCGTACCTTAGAGATTTAACAACAACTATCACCTCGAGCGGAGAACGTTAAAGCATTTTTTACCGATAAAACAACGTCATTCGCCTGGGAAAGTAAGTTGAAATTTCATCCGACGATATGAAACGTAAACGCAATAATAATCAGCGTCGAGTAGAATTTTCGAACGGACGATCTCTCGTGTGATCTTAGAAAAAGAAGAAAAATGAAATGAAACTTGGACGATTGGAGAGAGAAAGAAAGGATCGTGTGCGGATAGGGACAGGAGAGAGGAATATGAATATATAATATAATATATCTTATATCGTGTATCCATAAATGTTAAACGTTATTTCTTTTTTTGTTTCGTCGTCTTATCGATCCCATATTCTCGACTCGCTTTTTTCATTTCATTTTTATTAAATGTTAGGTAGAGTTTATAAGGGACGCCCGGTGAGGCGCTCTTTTGTCGTATACTAGCTGTGCCGAACGCACTTGTACTGGTCGCATCGGTCGGCGAAACGCGATCGGCTGAAAATCGGCATTTGAGACCTTTCAATCCCACGAATAAGTAATTCGATTCGAAAGGGAGTATTGGAAATGCGATTCGTGCTACGTATGAATGGAATTTGGGAAACGAGTCATGGACCGGGGCGAGACGGTGAGAATTGTCAGATCAACGATGAAGGGAAACGCGTCTCAACGATCGACCTTCAGCCGGTAGCTTCGCCCGCGACATATTTATTTAACAACAGAATTTAATCACCTAATCATCCGGAGGATACTCGTAATTCTCGCCTTTGCCTCGCGTTTATACAATAGATGGATATCTTTCCTCTTTCACTTCTTCTTTAGCTAAATGCTAAGTAATAAAATCGTCGAACCGCAATTCGTTACAATATAATCGTCGACAATCAATAGCTTCTAATAAATCGATAGAAATCACCTAGCTGCTGTCGCGATCGACCTGCATCGTCTGGCTTAAAAAAATACGTCCAACCTTTCTGTTTTTTTGTCGGGAGCGGCAATCAATTTCAATAATTCGTAATATTAATAATCGGTAGTCTACGCGTGGATAATAATAATACAATTGCAACGCGATTTTCACGCAGTACGGGGACCGCAAATATCGATCATAGTAATATAATAATAACGGGAATAATAATTGCAACCGCAATTGCAATTGCAATAATAATAATAATAATAATAATAATAATAATATTAATGACAATTAATAATAATAGCGACCATGGTAATATAATAAAATAAATCTCGTCTTACCAATTAGCATCGTCGTTACAATGTTGATGTACTCTTAGCCGTTATAGATTTTGCCTATGTACTATTCTCTTTTATATATATACTTCTATATGTATAGCTACAATATATAATATATTTCCATGTTGAAAAATCGTATACATTAGTGTTGCGTCGCAGGACCATTGCTTCGTCTCTGTTGTTTTCCTGTTCGTATAATTGTTATTCTTTCCGTTCCCTTGCTTCCTCATCGTTTTTTCTCTATATGTATATATACGTTTATCTCCTTCTCGTTTTTCCTCTTTTTGCTGTCTTTTCGTTTCGGTTCTACGCTTCGCACAAGATAGGTTTTTCGCAGATAGGGGGGAAAAGGTGGCGGTCGATGCATAGAAGCGTTCACGCTTGATTGTTATCGAACAACGGCGTCGTCGAATGGAAAAAGAGAAAGAGAGGGTGATGGAGAGGAACAGGATTGAGAAAGAGGGAAGGCGGCGCCTTTTCTTTTCCACCGATACCACGTTCCCGCTTTTCGACTTAGCGCGCGTTTCCCCAACTTCGGTACCGTTATTGGAACCGCTCTAGCGAGCCCGCGAATCAACGAATTAACGGATATTTTTAAAAGAACATCGTAGGAGTTCGAGTTGTATTTAAAATTTTGTTCGAACGGAGCGCGCGTACGCGCGCGTGGAATATATCGGCTCGCAACTAGCGCGATTCCATCGACGTGAAAATCGAGTTCCCGTTTGCGCTCAAGGACGTGAATGCTTCTTGCTCGGAGAGAACTCTGTGTACTCGTAATTCGTAATTCGTAATTATATAACATTAATAGCTTAATCGATATTTTTGTTTAGTTCGTATTACTCGCTCGTGTTAAAGAGCGAGCCTCGGATCACAGATAGTGAGGTGATCGGATTGCGCGATACATCTTATTACGATACAATAATTTATTGTTACGACGCGTGTGTCCCTAGAACGGTCTTTCGTATCTCGTTAAATCATCTGTCATTCGCGTAATCTCTTCTCTCGTTTCGGATTCCTCTAAGAATTTCAAGGCGACAGCTCCTGAAACCAAACATCACCGGACGTGTACGCGAGCTTGATTCACAGTCGAGCTAACACCGATTAGGAGTTTCAAAAACAACAGTTCAACATTCTCGCAACGTTCACGGATGAAGCGTATACTTCTCTTCTTTACTTCGTATCGTTTTTCCGACGACCATTCATGCACGCGCGCACAGACGGAGAACTTGGTCGGCACGTGTCCACGATTTCTATCTATCGTAATCGGTGACGACACACGGATACGAAAGTATAGAGTATACTTTTCTGTAATGCACGCGTATACGTATACACGATGCGTATGTACGTGCGTACGTACGACCAACTAAGGATAGACAGGCGGAATCGTATGTTTCGTATGCCGAATCCAGTTGAATCGCTAGAGTTTATCTCATCCTGTGCACTTATTCTCAATTAGAGGAAAACTAAACATACCGACGAAATTCGACGTCTCGTTCACGCCTTTTCTCAGCGATGGTGAAACAAATTCTACTAAACTTACAATTTATTCCAACAGTAATTCTGAACTTGATACGCGAATTGAAATTCAAGTTCTGAATTCGACGCTACTTGTGCGTCGGGTGTTGAGATTAACGCCAACGGAAGAAAAAAAAGT